TGTCAACATTTAGCATGTCAACATGCTGAAACAATGACAAGATAATTCACAAAAGGATTTTGTAGCTGTTAAACCTGCACCAATAAGACAAAATAATAATTCTCAAAGCACCTGCAAAGGATGAAATGCACCCCTAACTGCACTGCCTAGCAAATAGGGTCTCAGTGCTCCTGTGCATATTTAAATTATGTTATATGCAGACATTTGGTGCAATATCCTTTCTATGCTAATGATCCTCATTGCAAAACCAGTCCACTTCACAAAGCTCAGAGCTAATAGCCACACGCAGTTACAGTGATATTATTAGTGTCTTCAGAGAGGTGTAACTGAAGCACACTGACAGACCTGTGTGGATTTGCCCAGGAATTTTCTATGCTAATTGTCAACATCCACTTTTGTTAGACTACATGTCTGTATTTAAGCTAAAGGCATGTAAAAGTCCTAATTGTACTATTTGAGTAAAAAAAATTGTATGTATAGTAGGGATGTAACGATATAGAAAATTTGATATCTCGATTATAGTGACCAAATTATCACGGTAAACGATAATATTGCGATATTATTTTAAGCGCTGTAAAATGTCCAAATAATAGATACATTGAAATAACGTCACTAAATCTTGTAACTTCTTTATCATACTAAAATGTTAACAGCCAAAATCTTATATTAAAATGAAACTTTCACATTAAAGGGGCAAGGGATTGGCACAGCAACAGAAAATTTTATTTTAAATTAACAAAATATGTAAACACATTGCAGGAGCAAAGCTTATTTGTCTGGTGCAATTTAACAGTCAGCAAAGTATGTTAACAATTTATATATTATTTATTTCTTAGCATGAGAGGAAAAATATATATAAAACAAAACAATGCAAGAGTAGAACAAAAGACATACAGTATATAGAGTAGATATCACAAATGTGCAGGAGAAACCAAAAAGGGGGCAATGGTCATCATTACACAGAATAATTCACACATTAGAAGTGTGCATGTGAGTCAGAGGATTACCTGTATGAGAAAAGGAGTGCATGCTCTCGGTCAAAGGTTAACACGGCAGCGTTTTATGTTGTTTCCTTGAGCTTATGTCAAGAAAGCATAACTGGCCGTCTGTATCGATTCTAGCTCGCCATACAAAAAGCATAATCATAGTGATTCAATCATAGTTGATCTCAGTTAGCGTTACATTACGTCGGTTTATATTCTGTCGGCTCCGCTCAGTGTTTACAGCTCCGTTTCATTTTGAAACACTTAACATTAGCAACATAGCTGCTAATACGGCTATTAGCTACTCAGCTAGTGTCTTAAACGAAAACGGAAAACCTAGTCGCCGTTTAGGAGGACAGATAAGGCTCAAATGTCCCGCATACGTCGAGAGTTACACATTATGACAATCTTAGTAAAACCGAAGTCCCTCACACAATAACTGACGTTTGCATAGCATAACTTGCATTGGCTGTAAAGCTGTGGATGGCGGTCACGGAGATGAGCCAGCAGATTTGTAGTGTTGCTACCCTTCGCAGCAACTTTCTTTCTGCATGTTCTGCACACAGGATAGTTGTCCTCCACCAGCTGTCCCTCGGCATTCTTCAGAAACCCAAACCATCTTCCGCCATGTTTTCATTCTTTGTGATTACACATGCTACGCATTCACACAGCGCCTGCATCGCGAGACTTGAATGAGGCTGTTATTACATATCCTGATAATCCACCACAATAATGCAGTTAATTTAAACATTCTTACCATGTAAAAATTAACCAAAATTTACCGTAATATCGGTAATCGTTACATCCCTAATGTATAGTCTCAGTTGATTCCTAGTCGATAGTGTTAATTACAAAAGAACTCCAAAACTAGAGAATCTGTGACATTGCTTTCGACTCATCATCCAGAATTCTCAGAACTGTGATGTTATAAGTGATCCAGAGACTGAAGGTGTGACCGTTATGCTGCCAGTTTATGCAACGATATTGATTAACACTGCAGCAGTTGAATTTGAATGCATTTTTTAGTATGTGCAGGGGACGTGTTCAAGACAGAACATAGTGCTAAATAGCTCTTCAAGATTAGCTCTATACAATGAGAAAGTGAGCCAAGCCTGGCAATGTAAAGCTGAGCCTGACAAACTGAATTTGAGATGTACTGAAGTTGCCACCATATAGACAATAAACCCTTTTGACTTGGGTAACAGCATGACATTGCCACCGGCACCACCCTTAAGGCAAACATTGCACGTTGTGCTCCACTTGTGGTGAGATAGATCCTTTTTGCCTTTTTCCAAGAAAACTTGTTGCCACACACAAATACACGAGTACATGAACATGTTGTACACTGCATCATAACTACACGGAAGACATCAGAAGCAGTGGGAGATGGAGTCCTAATAGCCTTAAAGGGGAACTACACCTGTTTTCAAGAGTCATACATGTTATTCCTGTGGTCTACACCAGTCCAAAAATATTAGTAACCCTGAACAACTCTCTCCCAAATCCAAAACTAGAGTGCTAAAACTTAGACTTGAGATGCTGTAAGGTGTAAAGTCTGGAGCTGCTCCATACACAATGAATAAGGGAAGATGTTATCGGTGACACAGAGAGCACCCAGGGGAATGTTTAAAGGATATGGTTTCATATCCTGTATGAAGAGTTGAGAACACTGAAATGTAATAAAGCTCCTTTGGGTATAAAAAAGAAATCAAACATTTTGTGAGTCCACAAAACCAGGCTCCTATTTATTGTCTATGGAGCAGCTCCAGACTTCTCTGGGATCTGGCTATGAGAGAGAGTAGCTCACGTTCACTAACATTGATTGAGCTTTCCTGGGCCATGCAGCTAACATATTAAAATTCTTAATTTAGGTGGTGTGTTCCTCTTTAAACAGAGTTACTGTCATTAAAAAGAAGTATGACAGCGTCGTCGGCGAAAATGGTGATAGGTGAGGGGCTGATACAGTCAAGTAAATGTCTAAAGCATTATTCGGACGGGATTAGTTTTACATGGGCACGTGGGGTAATGTCACTTTACCACAGGACATCAGTAATATTAATGGCTGATTCGCACGGAATAAGAAATATCAGTAAAACTACCACAAGTGGGAGGGGTAAATCCATTCACGCACCGCCGTGCCCTCCTGCCATCATGAGTGTATGATAGGGCTGTTAAAAGCACCATGAAATTGAGTTTGAATATTTTCGAATTAATTTAGTAGAGTTCGAATAATATTAGAATTTATTATTAATATTATTATTTATTTATTTTTACAAAAAAACCCCACAAAAAATAAGATGCTTATTGCTGACGCAATATGAACGTGACACTAGGATGAAAACACCCATTCTGACATCACTGAAGTGACAGGTATGATCAACTTCTGACTCACTATCTGAGCAATGTTTGGATACTTCAGTGCGTAGTTTTCCACCACAAGAGTGGATCCTGGCCGGCTCGTAGTGGTGTCTCATTCTGGTAACGTTTCATCTATTCTTCAAAAAGGGTAGGCAGGGAGGCAGCAGGTGCAACACTCTCACAGTATGTCTCCCAGAACAGGTCACAAATAGCGGACAGCGCAGTGGGTGGTGATGGTGCAGAGGGCTCCTCCATCGACGCCTCTCCCTCCCGCTGCGTCCCTCTCTGGCCCGGCTCATTCGTGAGCCATCTCCGCCCGAATGGGATTTGCTGTGATATACAACATTAATGATAGTATTAATTAATTATTAATGATACTCGAATGATCAAATTTAGGTTCGAACTTATAAAAAAATAAATATATTTGAATATATTTCTAACTTCGATTTTTTTTTTTTTGACAGCCCTAATACACGTTTACTGCTGGTCTATTCGCACGGGATTAGTATTACCTGAGGTAATTGCCCTGGACCCTTTTACAGAAGGTAAAAAGCAGTAATGATTACTGACATGGCACATTCGGACGGGACTAAAATCTCTGGTAATTATTACTTTACCCCAAGTACCTATGTAAAACTAATTCCGTCCGAACAGGGCTTAAGAATAGTTATGTTAAGAGTCAAAATCTACAAACGATATTTTTGTTTTCAGGCCTGTAATGAGCATTATACAACAGTTAGTTCCGGCCCTGCAATCTGATTGGTCGAGAGACAGTAAAACCGTGATGATATTGGAGTACAACATCACGGTTATTTCACTGTGTATGTATCACTCCGCCTCACAGCTGATTGCAATCAACAATCAAATCAAAACTGACGGTTAGTGTCAGTTAGGTCAGCAGTTGCGTTGTAGGCTAATTAATTCATCCACTGTCAAACAGCCAAAAATATGGATTTATTTCCTAAAATAAGTTTTGAATTGAACTATGAATGGTCATCAGAGGAAGATGAAGGAGAGGAGAAGCTGAATCCATCTGAGCACACATCCAGGTTTGTCAGTGTTTCATCAGCGGAGCTCAATGACTTGGGGAAAAGCAACATACTGTCAGATCAGAAGGCAGAGTCGGCTGTGCCTGTGAAGCGACAGTCCACCATGCAGTCACCAGAGACTTATTTCACCGGCTGCACAATTAATGGAAACGTGCAGATAAATGTGTATAAAGAGTAAGTGCCTGGCGCACCATGTCTGCGTTACATAGCAACGGTGACAGCGGAGTCCTGAGGGAACTATTTTTGTTGGCGGAAGACAAATAAAATGCTTAAATTATCTATTTTGTCCTCATTTTTCAACATTTCTTAATCAGCCTTGCTTATTTAACTGTTGAACTGTTGTATAAAAGTAATATCACACTCGAGCTCGTGATGTTATACTGTGATATCGTCACGGCTGTGATTCGGTCGTAGGCACGAGGCCGAGGCCGTTGTTAAAGATTTTCATTCTTGTTATAACTTGTGGTTTATAAGTATGCCAACTCCACATTTTTTGCCACATTTAAATTTGCAACAAGGAAGTAACTTCTAAAAGCTCTTCTGTCCAAAACACGGTATATTTCTCTAGCTTTAACCAAACTGACCGTCCTGTTCCTTCTCCTCCCTGCAGGCGATGGCCAGGGATGAGAAGAACTATTACCAAGACACACCCAAACAGATCAAGAGGAAAATAAACGAGTATAAGCGCTGCCACCCGGAGCACTATAATGCCTTCATCAACTCACTAGCTGCTCCACAGCCGACGGTCCAGTAGAGGGATTGTCCACCAGTTTCTGGACTTTATATGATTCTCTGTATCAGGATCTCATTCTGGAAAGACTGTCAGCAGTGCAAACAGGACAGAAGTCCAGTGTGAGGACAGCAGATCCACCACCAATAATCGTAATAACCAACAGTGACAGGAAGTGGAGATGTCCTGGAGCGCTGAGAGACGAGCACTACTTCTGTGTCTTGTTAAGGAACTCTCTGCTAGTTTCCTTCCTGTCAAGATTTCCTGTTTTTATTTTTCCTCATTTTGTTTGTTGTTGTTGTTGTTGATCTCATCTGTGTATCCTGTGTTCTGACTATCAAACGTGATTAACTGAGATGTATTTTTAATGTATCATTTAAATACCTTGAAGCTCATTTTGCAGATGTGTTTTTTTTCTTTCTCCGGGATGAAAAGTATCCTAGCATACACATTGGGGAGTTCTCTGATGTTTCCAGGCTTTTTCATGTTTTCCTGATCAGCACACACAACATTTAAGATCTTCAGTTAAAGCATCGGATGTTGATGTCTTGAAGGAAACTCTGCAGCATCATGGTTTAAACTGCACCGGGGATGCATATAGTTTGTGTTGAAAACATGTTTCCAGCTGCATTAGAACACAGATGATGTCATTGATCACACGGTTAACCACTTGACTCAGTTTGCGTCGAAGATTTTGTCACAGTGAGATTAGAATAACATGGTTTAGGTCAGACTCTAAGAGTATGAAAGCCTGTTTTATTTCCAGTTTAATATGTCACTGCGGATTGTAAAAACTGTGCAAACACTTTTATTTTCAACTTTTGGCTTAAACTCACTGAGGGTACATTTTGTTGCTATGAAAAAGAGCCAGCAGGAGAAAAAAACATCCCTTTCTACAGTTATTAAAACTGCTTTTCTTGAATTTAAAAGAATGCAGATACAATGTAGACTTTATTACATGCTAATTGAAGCCTTTGTGGAAGAATTTGAGGTTGTAAATGTGCTGTAACTCTTGTAAAATAGTGTTCTCAGAATGTTTTTGGTTCTAAGTAACCATAGCCAGAGTAAAAGAGTAGGGTCATAAAACAGGTTTCTGTATAAATGTGCTCAGTTGGGATGTTCTTGAATGATTGACATTGGATTACAGTACTCAAATACAAAACAGATCATGCTCAGTGTCTTTTGGAGGGTCAGAAAGAGTCAAAATTGTCCACTCAATTAGTGGAGACAGAAGTGCAGATAAACAGGACGACGTTGGGGAGAGAGTGAGAAATAGCTTTTGAAATCAACAAGAAACATTGTTAGCATTAGAGTCACTGAAGAAAGGATGTGGAGACAGATTACCTCCTGGAAAATACATGAGGATTTGAAAGATCAGTCTGGTGTTATTAGGCATTTGTCTTATTTTCAAGAAATCCCACAAAAGAACCAAAACCAAAATTGTGTTTGTCTCTCAATACTTCTCAACTCTGGCTCTCAGCTCCAAGCCTACTGATTTCCACCGAAGATGTAAATCTTTAAAATGTCTTACAAATATTCAGTTCATTTCTATGAAAAGGCTCAGCAATTTCCATAAACAGCTGGTCACTGTATTTATTTAATCAAACTGTCAAACAGGAGGAATGGTGCATTTCTTTGGGACTATTTTACTACACATTTTGTGTTCTACTGCAGTGGTATCAAACCCCTTTGGCTTATGACCCATTAAAATGAGGGAATGTCTATATTTGACACCCTCAGCACTAGTTGCATATATCTGAGTTAAGCATAATGTGAAGGTTTTATTGTTTTTGTGGCATTAGTGTCATGTAAGAGACCTAAAGTGTAAAAATGGTCAAATAATTCAGAAAAGGTAAAGCAAAGATTAGAGGAAAGTGTATAAAAAATAATTTCTAAATATGTTTCCTGATATTCTCTCCTGTTGATTATCCTTCAACCCCTCAGATTTATTTTGCGACCCCTACTTATTGCCCATTGATGTGCTTTTAAAGGTTTAGAACCACATTTATCTTTCAGAGTTGTGCAAAAGTTACCCTCCCAGAGCTCATACTCCCACTACTCTAACCCTGAATGTATTTATAAATGTTTTAAAATTCTCATTATTTACTTTTACAGTACTTAATATGCATTGGCTCATTTAACCTTGTTGTCCTCCATTTGCAGTTTCTATCACTGCTGTGAGCATTTGATGGAAGTAAACAAGCAGCTATTAATGTGGTGGCATCACACTAGCAAACCATATTTCACTGCTTTTGGTTAGATATATTTGAACCTGCCACATTAAGATAAAATTTAAAAATACACATGAAAGCTAAATGTCTAAAACACTTGAAAATATCACACCTACGGCACCTTCTTTCCACCTAAAATTCACCAAACTATATGGTAGACAATGCAACATCCACAAATCTTTTTGCCATTTAATATTAATAAATAAATATTAATATTTTTTCTCGTGTTCCATCACACTACAACATATCCCATGATCCTCAGGCAGTGACACCCTATCAGAGCTTCATGGGGATGCAGTTTTATGAATAGTTCAGGAATATAACATCCACACTTCTGCTTAATTTGAGGGTTTTTTTGACAGAAAATCTCCCAGATGTTGAAACAACTCTGGCGTCTGTCAACAGACTCCAAACGTACAAATGAATTCCACATTCGCGCCAACACAAATGCCTCATCAACTGGAAAACTGGTTGCATTGATGGCTCCGGGGAGAGAAAACTGCGTGAAGCAAACAACAGAGGCGAGTTTGACAGGTAGATAGAAACATACATCACTTCTGGGGGGGGGGGGGGGGGGGCATCCAATTTAAATGTCAGCAATAAGGCTGGTGGAAGCAGCTTAAGTGAAAATCTCTGCATGTTTCTGTGCCCATGCACAGGAAGTGACTGTTATTTTTCAGTACATTCTGTACATTCATTTCTGTCATCTGTAGAACATGTATGGACACTGAGTCACGTAACACCCAGCTAAACGTGACTCTTGCAGTTTGTACTTGAATACCCTGTTGAGTTTGTTTCCATGGCTGCAGAGAATCAGTGTAGAATAACAAGGCAAAAACCAGGAGATACAACTGAACCTAAAATAACTCCCACAACATTTCACAGACGGAAACCTTGAAACTTTTCATAACTTTCTCTATCAGCATTTATTCTAACACCTTCAGCACCAATGTCAGAGTGAAAGTGACATGTTTTCCTCAAGGATGTTCAATTCTAATACAACATTTTCTTTTGGTAAAGAATCCAGCTTAAATGACATTTAGCAATGAAACCTGCGCTTAGAGGAAGAGCTGGGTCCAAAACAGGGACATTTGCTATAGGCTTCCAATTAAATACAGGAGGAGATACCTGAGTATGTATAAAAACGCTTTCATTCCTCTATCAGTGAATCTCCTCAACTCAGATTAGGGGGGTGTTAAATGAGGGGCAGTGCTGCATGTATTTGAATGCATTTTATGTCTGCAGTTGTCTGTGCTATGCACTTTATGTCTGTTTCTGCACTATGTATGCATTTTTATATGGCAGCCTTTATGTCCAAGACAAATCTCCCGAGGGACAAATAAAGTAATCTTGGATTTATGAAATCAAACATACAGAGACAGCCTAAGCTGCAGCATTGGACCACGGTAGATTATAGATGAAAATGAGTAAGTTAGGTCAGAAAACTGACGTGATTAGACAGAGTGAAATGTCCACTGAAGGAACTTCTAGTGTGCATACAGTAACATATCTAACAAGCGTAGCCTAAAATAGCTTAATCAAATGTATTAATGCTGTGATTAATGACAACACAAGAACAGAAACTGACAGTTACTTTTCCAGCAGTCCACCATTTTGTCGCCATATCTTATTAATTCGTCAAGGCTTAATGGTCATGTGCTCACAGTGACAGTGCTAACATGCTGATGTTTAGCAGATATCATTTTGTCATTTCAACCATCTTAGTTTGGAGTTTTAGCAAAATAATAACAGAGCACAAAACACCAAGCAGAGTATGGTTGTAACACTTTTTAGTTCAGCACTTACAACTCACTGAATTTTTGTGTTAAAGCTCTAAAATTTTGACTCAAAGTACCTTCATTTGTCTACAATAAATAGCAGTGTTTCCATCTTCAACTATATTACAGTATTCATTAACTGACATGAAATACAAGGAGTTCCACTGTCACAACCTGCACCACTACCACGGTAAGTTGTAACAACAATACCCCTTACCCACCAAAATTAGCACGTAGATGTGTGTTTTGTGAAAGTAGGGAAAAACCCTTAACATAGGCGATAGACTTCTTCCTCACTGCAAGTGTGTACATGGCTCTGCAGTTGATGACTGAGCCTTTCTGTTTTTTAACTGCTGTGTCACGTTTCATGTCAGGAATGCACCAGAAACAGGGTTAGTAGACAGTAGAAAGCTCATGGAGGCCAGTGAAATTGTTACGGTAGTTCCTTCTTTGTGTATCTGTTACTTCAATCTCTCCATTTAACTTGGCGCCACCAATATGGAACGATGTTCGAGTGCTGCTTGGACGGAGACGGGCTATATTTTGTGGTGGCCTGTCATCACATCGTGCTGGAAAAGGGGCTGAAATTAGCATGTCCACCCGGCTGTCATGTTTCTATCACTGCTAATCAGAGCTGATCAAAGCTGGAGCCAGTCAATACCCATGACCACTGCAGAGTCATTGTCCCAGGAATGAATGCCGATTGTAACCTTTCCCGATCAAGGTAAAAGCCAGATGTTTGTGGGTGTTCATGGGTTTTCTGTCCAGTGGGAAAAGGGCTGAGGAGTGAAGAATTACGCAAATACAAAAAAAACTGATACACACACGAATAACTAGATCCCACTAAGGTCTAGACTGCTAAGCTGTACCTGTCAGGTGCTTAATACCTCTCACAGAGTGAGTCTAAAATACAAGCCTGCTGTCATAGTCAAGTAACAAGTCAAGACATCCTCTTCCTGCACATTGAAGACTCTTTGAATGCAGTGTTAGCCCACACAGAGCATTTGTGTTCACCCTCTTTCACTGAGGTTTTGCAGTTCTTGCAGTATCTGCTCAGTGTCACATGGCAGATAGAGTATTCTTTACCCTTCCTCACCTCATCTGATGCAGATTTTAGTATGTGTGCAAGCACACCCTTGTCAATTTTTCTCACCAACTGTCCTGGCCTGCTGAAAAAAAGGAGTGAGACAGATACAGTGTGTTTAGCTGTCATTTGGGTTGGTTCTGATATTTTAAAAATGTGTGTCAACCATCCCCAACCCTGTCAGCTATTGTTTAGCTAGCTGTAGCAGCTTGGTGGTTTGAAATGAGCAAAGATGAAATACTACTTTGTAATCTACCACAAGTTATATAATTCTGACTTCAACAGTATCAGTACAAATCAAGATATAGACTTGGTCCAAAAAATTACTTTTATACTTGAAAATCAGTTTTTTGGCTAAGAAATCCAGACACAGCTATTAAATTTTACATACAAGGTCAGAGAGAAAATGGTCATATGATACATTTATTTCATGACTCTTAGGTTTTTTCTAATCCCATACCCCGATAACTGAAACCAGGTTTCTTGTTTACATGACATTTGAGAAATAAGCTTACTGATCAAAGATGACCGTAGTCCATATAAATGCACTGAATGTCTGAACCTCATTTAATGGCAGTCCATCCAGTCGTTGACATATCGAACTAAAAGAGAAGGAGCTTCCTGTTTGTATGTCTGTCTTTTGATTTTCTCGACAACCTTTTCATCCAACTGACTCCACACTTGGCGGGTGTTTTGCTGCGGACACAAGGAAGTGCAGTGCTGAGTGCGAGCTCTTGATATCTACGGGACACATTAGAAGTAGTGCATTATGTACACACTGTGTAGCTGAACAGCATGTTGGGTATAGCTTGCTCTCTGCTGCTTGCTACAGTACACTCAAATGCAGATGAAGAAAGAAAGACCAGAGATATTTTACTGAAGCAAACTCAAACATTTCAAGCATGTAACTTTCGCATTGAACACTTGTTCCTGGAAATAGCCTGGTCTAACTGTTAGTAAATGACGTGTATACCGTATCACTGCTAGAGGACGCAACGATGTCATGACAGGTGTATTGCTCAGGACCAAAGGAGTGCAGTGTCGGCTGTAAAGTTATTTGGATAAGCGGTTCTCAAGAAAGCTGCAAGCAGTAACACAAGAGGCCAAACAATTGGTCCGCGCCGAATAGGAACGTTATGAGCGGGCACAGCATTAGTGTCAGTCAAAACCTAAAAAATCAACCTCATGGTGGCACTAGAGGAACACATTGAATTACTGAGTCAGCAGGACTGGGAACCATGAATGTTTGCGCCAAATATCATGGCAATGCATCCAATAGTTATTGAGATATTTTGCTTAAAACCAATCAAACCAATCATTAGGATTGACACTCTAGGGACTACAAATGTCTGACAACACGCAATAGACTAATGACTAATCACTTTAACAGTCTGGACAAACCTACAAGTCACATAGTAACACCAAGACACATACAGTAATCTCCCTCAGTGCATGTGTCACGAACCTTGAGCTTATTATCTTTACTATCTTCAGATTATCTGCTGCATACGCTGACAGCCAAACTATAGTTTGACCTACGTCTGCTTTGTCTGCTCTTGTCAACTATTTACAGCCTTGTTCCATTGAACAGTTCCAAATTTCTGCAGAGTCACGTGTTTGACCATCGTAAACACACCCTCGGCACGTTCAGGAGGGAGGGGAGGAACCTTAATCAGCACAGATATTTGAAAAACAAGCGTAGACTGGAGGTATGTGAGGTATGATTGCACAGCGTTTCACACCAGCTATGGTTGTTTTCTTGAATATGGTGTTATAATTGGAGTTGTACTAAAACTCGATTCACTACAGTGTTCCTCCGTGTCTGCAAATGTGGAGAAAGAGGTTGTATAATAGTTTGCTGATGATTATGAAATATCTCAACAACTATTGGATGGATTACCCCAAAACACACGGTCAGAACTAAATCGGAAAAGCTAAAATTGACGAAACAGCAGAGACTGACAAAGACCATCTACTGTTGAAAGCCTGACAAGCTGAGTCCGAAATGTATGGAACTCCCCTAGGGATAAGGTGAAAATGGCATTGGTTGGGTATCAAAGATATAAAAAGTTTAGAAATGAACATACTATAAGGGTCTATACAGGTTGCAGGTAACAAGAAGGGTCCGACTCCTTTTGGCTCTAATCGTAGCACATTTGTGCTGTCACTTGGGTGACACAGAATTAAAAATTTGATTCTAAATAAGTGTTTTGATTGTCTGTCATGCCAGCAGCATCATTTAGTGCTTGGCAAATATACATAAGTTCTGTGATTACATAGTGGGGCGTTGTGCTGGGAGCACCTGAGTGGAAAAACACATATGGCTCAGAGGGAATGGAAGAAGAAAGGTAACACAAAAGTATCATGAGAGAACACAAAATGTATTGCGAGGGAATGTCAAAAGAAACCTCGCCATAATCATTGGGGCACTCTGTGGAAATGTCGTAAAATGGCCACTATACCAACTTTGCGCTTTCCTCCACTGCCACCTGTAGAAAATTCTCAACATATTTACTTTATCGGTGTGGTGATATCTAGTATTTGTAGTGGGCAGGACTTCTTTCAATCAGAAAAATGCTTTTTAGATCAGCAGTCTGAACACATACAGTACATAAAAGCTGCAGGGCACCCTTGTTTCAGTTAAAACATCATAATGTAAGAATAACATTGTTATTGTGGCATGAACACTTTGTATCAACACACTGAGTGATATTATTTGCTCACCTCGCCTCGCAGAGAAGCACGTAACCCTTTAAATGTCAGCAGCCGAAACACGGCAACAATAAATACTAACGGGTTTCACTTAACATCACGACACTATGAATCACTTTTTTCATTTCTGATTGCGTCCAACGGCTTGAAAAGATGACAAGCTTTCATTTACAAGCTGTGAGTTTTCATGCTGTCTGAGTCACGCTGCCTCGCGGTCACTGTAACCTGCAGGGCTGACAGCATGCTGTGAAAACACTGGAAATGTGCCAGAGTGACGTCTCAGTGCTTCCTGTTAGACCAGTCGTGGAACTTTGCCCTACAAAAACAAGGTCAGTACACTTATAGAGGTCTATAGATTTTCATCTGTGTTTGCACTGACATGCTCAGTCAGCAGAGGGCAAGACTCAATGTTTCCAGTTCTGTGCTTGTTATCAGGTCGCTTGTTAGGTAACATTTTGTGGATCCATCCATGTTGCTTTTAATGGCGTAAGACAAAAGGGCTTATTTGAGCACATATTGTGTACATAGGAGTATGTTTACTGGCATGCCTTCTGTCTACATGTTTCCAGTTGTACTCCCATGGTCTTCCATGCAAAAGAGATCTTACTATAAATGAGATTACAGAATTAAATAAAGGTGAATTATTAAAAAAATTCCATAAGTGGCTGCACATTTTAAGATATGCTATTTCATTACAGAAAAACACATTAAAAGACTTCATTGACTCATGATGGCGAGTATAAGACAAAAAAAAAAGATCAAAATCGATGCTAGAGAATTAGAGATATCGTCTTTTTTTATTCCATGCATTCTTCTATCTTGTCAAAACCTGGTGCTTAAATTACCCACAATGCAATATGACTGTGAACACCTGGAAACACACTTTGATGTCTAAAATGAGTTCCCCTTTAGGAATAAATAGCCCAATGGCATCTGTGGCTGACACATTAATGACATCTTAAAAGAGATTAACAAAACATAAAGACATGCATAAATTCATATCAAACAGTTTCCATTTACGTAACACATAAAAACAAGAATGACGAGCATGACGAGTCATTGGTTATAAAAACCGTGTACATACAACAATCCACTAAACTCTTGGTCACTGTGAAAACATTTCTGCAGAATTACAGTACATCAAAAAGGAATAAAACTTCACATTCATTACAAAATTGTGCGTCATAACCAAACATTGCTGCACACATGCAGCATTAAAAGTCTGAGTCTAGCTAATTCCAGTGTAACTGTATAGGTAGCATTTAAGTTAAATATTGTACTTCACATCTGCATTTGTACATTCAAGAATGTGTTTTGCTTGATACTAGTCCTTGTCTAGGCTTCTTCTACACAGCGATCTAACTGTGGAGCACACAGGATTTGGAGTGCATGCTAACGGTCAGTAATCAAAGCAAAACAGTACTAGAGAGGTGCTTTAGGTACTAACTGACCTATGGCTAAGCCCCGCCCTCAAATGTTATGAGCCAATCACAGTGCGTATAGCCATTCCCATACACTGGGACATTCTCTGCCTGGACGTCCATTGAAATGCATTACAGAAAGTCAGTTTGTTCGGTTTTATGAGCTTTTTCTGAAATTTGAAGTTTAAAAAATGGTCAAACGGTGTGCATGGGGTACATGCAACTCTGACACAAGGTATCCTGAGAGGCTGGGCGACCAGGTGTATTTTTTACACTTTAAACCACATCTCAACCGAGAAAAGTGTCTCCTTTGGATAAAGTTGTGTGGTAACGTTAGACCACAACATCAACTCAACGTGAATAAGATTAACAATGATGTCTACATCTGTTCTAAGGTAAGTCAACATCGTGTTTGAGGCAACAAATAGAAATATAAAGGAAAGAAATATAAAGTTATCTTTAACATCTCTAGCTAACATTAGCTAAAGTTAGCCTAACGTTAGCTCCTAGCTGCGTTGTTCATCATGTCACCTTGTTTGCTGGGAGTTCATTAGCCTATTTTGTTCTAGTTTTGTACTTTGGTGATCGTACATCATTGTTAGCTGTTGTCCAAAGGGCTCTAGTTAAGCTAACGTTAACTTCTGGAGCTTAGCTTCATTAACTTATCTGTAATGGCAGAGATAACAAAGGTTGGCAAACGTTATGCTGAATGATTCAATAGCTATGTTTCCATCCAAAAGTGAACCGAATCATTGGGAAACGCGCATTAAAAGAAATACGAATCCTGTGTGTTTCCATTAAATGTACGGACTTTGGTGAAAACTACGAACTTGTGCGAGTTTTCCGCATGCTTTACTGTCTTCCCGACCCGGAGTGTGGATATCTCCATGGAGAGAGGTGTGCTACGTCAGACTTAATTCGAACATAACTGTCTCCATCCCCCGTTTTGCGAATCAACATTTTTTCGAATCAACCAAAACCCGGCTAAAGCGAGCGTATTTTAGTTTGTGTCAATCAGGGGATTTTAATTCGAATTTTGGCGTTTCCATCATAATTTTCCGATGCGATACTTTTAGATGCGCATCTAAACAGGCTGATGGAAACATGGCTAATGTAAACCAAACTAACGGAGAGACACTCTTGGTAAAGATGGTAAAAAGTCCGTTATCCTTTTCTCATATTCTGAGCCAAAAACCTTAACCAAAATTTGATCGTCACATCTCCAAAAATCATCCGGCCTCCTGCGAAATGTTGTGTACTGTGACACCTGCCATAGCGCTGGTCACTGAAGTAGTAGGTGGAGGGGGGCGTGGCTTAGCCATAGGTCAATTGTTGAAAGGTTTCTCCCTTATGAGCATTGAGTTTGTATAACTCCTGATTCTGTCTGTACATCGTTCTGTTTATAGTGTCATCTGATAAAGAAATTCGATGTTTAGCATATTTAGTGTACTTAGCTAATATGTGGGATATGTGGTAGTTGGCTGTAATTTCTGTCGGGACTTAAAACCGAACTGAAGAGGAACTGCTTGCAAATGAAGTTAAAACACTCTCTTGTGAAGAAAGTCACAAAATGGAAAGAAACTTTCTCAACGTCACGAGAATTTGGACAAGAAAAACAACACTGCATTTGAAATTTCCCAGGGTTCCTTTAAATTCCCTCACAAAATTCCCCTAGATCTCTGAGAAGCCTAATCCCTCTTCTCATTTCTCCGTGTGTACATCCTCAATCCTTTCCTGTCCTCCAATCCTTGTGTCTTAGTCACTCCCGCCTTAGATAGGAGCAGAGGAGACACGAGGAGAGAGGAGTCGAGGTATTTACCAAAATAAGAGATCCGTACTTTAGTGATGTCATTTTAAAGCGACATTAATTAAATATGAAGCGTGGCACAGCTGCATTATCAGCTGTGTGTCACGCCTCTTTAATATGTCATGTGTGCTTAAAAGACTTTTGGTGAATATACACCTGTGCATCCTCGCTCATACTTCCTACTCAGTGAGATGCATTTTAGAAATTAAGATATCCTTCGAGATGTTGCCGAGATTGATTTCCAGGTCACAGGCAGGAGGACGGAAGAGAAAGGAGACGAGGAGGCACAAGGTAGAGGAATGAGAAGAGCAGTAAGTGTAGGAGTCGGCGAGTATCTTCCAAACACCCCGTCGATGAATTCACCGAGCTGGTGCAGTATTATTCCCCAAAGACTCCAAACTTGGCAACCATGAATATTACCTGCTCTGCTCTGCCGACTTCTCTGGTCACGCACTAAAGGTTTTCAGAAAACGAAATCTGTAAACGCATCTACAAACTCGACACATTTCAGTTTCTATACAGTGAAATCTACGTGCTTAAATAAACCTGTAACAGGTTGACATTCAGACGAGTCCAAAGTCTGAATCATTGGCAGGAGGTGATCTTTGTGGTTCTGAGTCACAGACTCCATGAACAAACCTTCATCCTTCTGTCCCACCTTCTGTCCTCGTCCTCCTCACTCTGCACCTCCTCCTCTCCGGTGAGTAAGACGAGTGGAATGAAATTGTCTGATGAGATGAGCTTAAGTATTTCTAACACCAACTGACACGATTTGAAAAGGGGTGAGATGGAAGACGAGGAGGTACCGCAAGGCTTTTCGCTCCGTCTTGGCATCTTCTCAATCTCTTCTTCAGTAATTTCTCTGCATCAGTTCCCGAAGCGTTCGCCATCTCCTCCTCCTCTGCCTCAAATAAGCCAGAGCTTAAACAAGGCGGAGGAAGAGGAGGAGGAAGATCGCTTTAAGCCATGCCTTTGTTTGCATCCCTCCTCTGCTCTCTGAGGGGGGATGAGATCAGACGAGCTGGAGAAGGAGGTCCTGGAAGGTGTCCAGGCCCCGGCAGGAGTTCCTCAGGGCTCCATCAGAACCCAGCTGGGCAGCCAAGAGGAACAGCTTCCTGTCCTCAGTCACGGAGCCCAGAGACAAGGCTTCATGCAGCTCCGACACGCTCACAGCATTGGGCTTATCCTGTGAAGAGGGGAAATCCATTAAACTCAATTTGACAAGAAATGGCTGTCTTCTTTTTTCAAGGACAACAACTAATAGTAACAGAAAACACATAAATTGTTCACACTGACCTAATTTGTTATTGTGCTATGTTCTTGTATTCTATTTATTATAATCTCATCTCCTGTCGCTGTTTACATTTAAATGTAAAGCACGTTGTTGAGTCTCCCTGTAATGTGCTATATAAATAAAACTGCCTTGGCTTGCTTTTTGTTGAGAATTTTAAATACTGCCCATCTCCAGTGCGACAGATAGGAGTTTGTTAAAGAGACAGTTCACCCTAATATCAAGAATATATAGTTTTCCTCCTACCTGTAGTGCTATTTATCAGTCTAGATTGTTTTGCTGCAAGTTGCCAAGTGTTATAGATATCAACCATAGAGATGTCTGCCTTCTCTTCAATATAATAGAGCTAGATGGCATTGACTTGTGATGCTGAAAGCGCCAAAAAAATCAGAAAGCTCTACAGTAATGTCCTTTTCTAGAAATCATGACCTGGTTACTCAAAATAATCCACAAAGCTTTTTGTAAACAGTTGGGAACTATTTTCTTTCTACCGAACTACACCCGCCAACCATGCAGGTTGCTACTGCTAGCTCACTTAGCACCACTTCGCGAGCTAACATTACAGCTCAGCCAAGGAGGACGCCATTAATGCTGCGTTCCAGGCAAGTTTCTGAGCCCGTAAGTCACCACTTCAAGTCACGACTTCATAGCGTTCCAGACAAGTCATGCCAAACTGTCAAAGCAACATGGCGGACCGTGCGGAGTTTATGTTTGTTTATCATCACTTCTGTCACCAAATGTGCCGGTTCCTTGCTCATTTGAGGGAAACGGAGGAGGAGAAACGGCACATAAGGTCACAGATGCTATTATTCTTTTTATTTTACGTTATCTGTGTGTTGGGAAACATATTTTGTTTTGACTTATGCTTGCACTGGAAACTAGCTGTTAGAGCGGCTGCCAATAATGCGTTAACATTAGGGTTATTTTTGTCTATTTCTCATCGTGTATCACTTGCATCATAGGGCTGCCATTGTTGTTTAGAGGAGTAAGGTAATTTTTTCAGAGGGCTGTGTGACGTCAGAAAGTGTAACTGGGAGTACATCGATCTGGTACGAGTTCACGGGAGGTAAGTTACGGGTTTGACTGCTGTTCCAGTGCATTGTCACGGGTAGAAGGTTGTAAAAATACAAGTTACAGGTTGCCTGGAACGCACCATAATATTTACAGCTTGCGTTGCCACAAGCATGAGCCTCTTGTCCATGAGTAGTGTATTTTTCTGGCGCTCTGAGCACCACAAGCCAAGTCCCATCTAGTTCCATTATATTTAAGAGAAGGCAGACATCTCTACGTTTGCTGTAGCCAACGTTTGCTTTAGCTTTGAGGGCTAACACAAACACAAGCTGTATGTACTGAGCCAGGTTTTGACACATTTTGGTGAAAATTAGTGTTTGGCTAAATATGGCTAAGTACAATACAGTTAACAGCACTAGCAACAAACAGAAACTGTACATGTAGCCATATTTTGGTAAAAATGTAGGCATAACCACATACTGAGTACACAAACTAGTGTTATCACTGGAATCAGTTGCAACTAGGGCTGGGCAAGATGTTGATATTATATCAATATCATGATATGAAACAAAATATCATCTTAGATAAGATGTTGGATATTGTTATATGGTAAGTGTTGTCTTTTAGTGGTTTTAATGGCTGCATTACAAGCGATGTTTCCATCCAAAAGTGATTCGAATCATTGGTAAATCCGCATTAAAAGAAATACGAATCCTGTGTGTTTCCATTAAATGTACGGACTTTGGTGAAAACTACGAACTAGAACGAGTTTTCCACAGAACCAGAAACAAAACAGGTCTCGCATTCTTCTTCTTCTACGTTTTCTGGCGGTTGGCAACCAGCTTGTAAATGCATTACAGCCTTCCCGACCCGGAGTGTGGATATCACCATGGAGAGAGGTGCGCTACGTCAGACTTAATTCGAACATAGCTGTTTCCATCCCCTGTTTTGCGAATCAACATTTTTTTCAAATCAACCAAAACCCGGCTAAAGCGAGAGTATTTTAGTTTGTGAGAATCAGGGGATTTTAATTCGAATTTTGGCGTTTCCATCATAATTTTCCGATGTGATACTTCTAGATGCGCATCTAAACAGGCTGATGGAAACATGGCTACAGTAAGGTAATATAATTTTGTAAACTAACCAGATTGTTCTAGCTGTTCTGTTATCTGCCTTTACCCACTTAGTCACTATACTCCTACAGTCCTCTGTGAAAAAGCAAGTTATGATTTTGACAGCTTTTCAAGGTGAGTGTTAGATACTGTATTCCTAAAACAGCGTGACCATTGATTTTATCTTTTCACTTTATCCCAATGAAAAAATCTTTACAATATCAGAACAAACTTGTTTTTGGTGGACAAGACCAGTGATTGTATTCCACTTCAAAAAAAATGTTTGTTTTCAAACTAATGTTTGTTTTCTCAATAAAGAATAAAAACCATTAACATAGTACTTCACAATGTGTCACTACAAATAACCACATGCCATATTTCAAATGTTGGCTGTCTCAGTCAGGATGAAAAGTGTGTATATGAAGACAGTGAATGTAACGCAACCCTCCTACACAAAACCATTCAACCCAGGCTGGAGTCTATAGATGTCCGCCTCGTTTCTTTGCTCCGCCACATCTTTTCCAACACACAGGTTCTGCTGGAAACATCCTTTGTACTGTTTAAGCTGAGCGAGTGCCGAGGCAGAGAACAAAGCTGTGTGGTGGGTGAGAGCCAGTATCACTGTCAAAAAGAGCTCCTCCTACTGAGGACATATTCCTTTTATTTCACCTGCGTCATGTGCACAGCGTGACACAGGTTTAGGCAGAAGTCTTTTGTTTTTTCTTCTTAAAGGCTCAAAAAAATGACAAAAGTTTGAAGGTACTTTGGTTAGCTTAAAGACAATCCACTACCTTTTTCACTTGTAGGAATTCAGCATCCATCTACACATAACAGGTGTGTGTGCAGTGATTTATCATTATAAGCTTAAACCACTCCTGCAAAAAATACACTTCTCCACTGTTACGCTGTATGAAATGTTTCCATATCCCCACAGTTATGGAAAACTTGGAAAAGTCTTGTTTTCCAGGCCTGTGAAAGCCATAGACTTAGGAAAGACCTTGAAAGTTTTGGAAAAGTGTGTAATGAAATTGTTATAATAATGTAACATAAGGGCAGATTTATCTTCTGTAGCAGTGCTGATGTGCGACAACATATTTACCACCATCTCCCCTTGTTCTGTCTCTCCCTCCATGTATACACCAATACTTTTAAACTGTACTGCATTTTTTAAATGGAGCAATGTTCGTATTACACATTGTGAATGATCATGGAAAATTTAATATGGTCCCTTAAAAGGTCATGGAAAATTACTGAAATTTTGTCCATGGAAATGTGTAAGAACCCTGAAGCATGTTCCCAATACTCAATACTGGGCAATACTCCCAGTATATTTTGGCCAGAACTACAGCTTTCATTTGTAGCTTAACATGATTAGCTGTTTACACAAATGTTTGTTTGGTACATTTTGATGATGAAAATTCTGGTTGGCCAATACAAAGCTGCAGGGGAAAGTGGTTGAAGCCAAAACAGTGAGCACTAACTTGGTTATTGCATTTTTTTTTTTTTTTTTTTTTAAAAAAAGAGCCAAATTTGGTCAAGAAGGGAATTTTTCTTCTTGCCTCCACACAGGCGATAGCCATGGCCGGAGGCATTATGGTTTTGGGTTGTCCATCTGTCTGTCTGTCCGTCAGTCTCATTCTTATGAACGCGGTATCTCAAGAACACCTTGTGGAAATTTCTTCAAGTTGGGAACAAAAGTCCACATGGACTCAAGGAGGAACTGATTCAATTTTGGGGAAAAAGTCAAGGTCATTGTGACCTTGTCTGTCTCATTCTTGTGAATGCCATATCTCTGAAACAGCTCAAGAGATTTTTTTTTCTTTTTCAAATTTGGCAGAAGCATTTACTTGGACTTAACCATGAACTGATTAGATTTTGGTGTCTAAGGTCAAAGTCACTGTGACCTTGCATCCGCCCCAGTCTTGTGAATACAATATCTCAAGAAGGCTTTGAGGGAGTTTCCTCAAATGTGGCACAAAAGTCGACTTGTACTAAAAAATGAACTGATTAGAATTTGATGGTTAAAGGTCAAAGGTCAAGGTTACTGTGACCTCACAATCTCACCTTTGGCCATAAGTCAAGAATTCACATTCTATTTGACAAATTTTCCCACAAATGTCTAATTAGATATGATGATAAAGTGATGACATTCTATATCCAAAAGGCCAAAGGTTAAATTCACTGTGACATCATAATGTTCTCACTTTTCTGGCCATTGTTCAACATCATAACTCAGGAACAGAAGGGGAGGCTTTGACCGGATGCTGAATTGTCAAAACATATCTTGGGTGACCAGCTTGAAACTGCTAACTGTATAGATCATCTGTGCTGCCGGGTGGCAGATGTGTGTGAAGCATTCATGTTTTCACAGACATGGATGTAAACTGTAACTGCAACTTGACTGGTTCACAAGGGCATACAACCGCAAAGCAGTAACTCTAGTTATATATGTGGGTTACGTATAACCTTTTTCAACATTATTTAAATGACTATGTTTTAATGTGATTCGTTATCTTACCAAATTTAGCCCAGTTGATGCCTGTATATATTTTAACCTGCAAATCATCAGAGCCGTACCAGCTGGGATATACAGCAATTGCGTGGAACAGTTTGATGTATGACATCAAAGATTACCAGTGTAACCTGAAAGAAAATCTGTATTTCTGTAGCCTTTTCATATCAACAAGCGATAGGTTTAAAAGGGCATGCGTCTCTCTTTGGTATTCTGTTTGATGTTCAAAGTTTCCTTATTAGTTCTGAAGATCAAAGTACTGAAAAAGAGGGTGTTAATTTCACACCTGTAGTGCTTTAAAAGGCCTCTTGCTTTGGATGTTTTGACCACAATATACTTCATGAGCCAACTGGACTGCAGCTTAATGATGAGTGCAAAGAGTTTTACCTCAGATTCCTTTTTTGCCACTATTGCGAGCAGCGCTCAGAACTGAGTGGATGAAAGCTGCGGCACTGTGACAGTAGATGTGACAAATATTCCTGCTTCCCTCGAAGGGTCATGTATAATTCCACAAGTGCCGCGCAGGGTGAAGAAATATGAGCTCAGGAGGAAATGTAGAAATGTTTATTTCAGGAGTCTGATGGATCATCACTGTTTTATAAATGAAGACAGAATGTGTATCTATTTGCTCCAACACATCCGTCCCTTTTTTTGTGCACGTCTACATGATTTTTTTGACCTCATCTGACATTATGTTTTTTTACTTTGACTTTTGTATCATTTTTGACTGCAGGATTTTTACTGGTCCACCAGAGTGTGATGGCTTACTGTTTATTGTTCCGTTTTCATCAATATTGTGCTCCAGTTATTTCCATACATACCAGTATTTTTGTTGGTTTAATAACCTTAACCAGACATTTCTCTATGTATACTGTTCACTTTTGCTACAAATGCTGACCATTTTAGATTTTTGGATGTATTTTTTTTTACTGTTCTTGGCAGCCATTGGTTTCTATATATTCCATATGGTATAAATATTAACTGGCAAACCTGGAAAACTTGATATGGTTATGTAACTAATGGTTATGTATGTTTGTTGATTAGGATATTAATGGAAAACAATGGTTGCCTAGAATGGTAGGAAAGGTTCATCTAAAAATCTAAAATACAACAACAAGGTTTGTAAGATGGTTAGCCGTGTTGTAAGTCACTTTACCTGCTTGTTTCCCAGGACGACCACGGGCAGTTGGGGCTGCACCTTCAGCAGGCGGTGCAGTTCAGCCTTGGCCAATGGGAGGCGGCTTCTGTCAGAGGAGTCCACCACATACACCAGAACGTGAGTCTTTCTCAGGTAGTCCGACCAGTACCGCCGCAGGTCCTCCCCGCCACCAACTGCGATGGAGAAAACATTCATGTTTCATAAATGATAGATTTTCTTTTAGGTTTTCGGGCTCTGAAAAATAGTTTTATTTGGCTCTGCTCACCGAGGTTTAACTCAGCCAAAAGTCTTAAAATACTTGTGACAAATGTGTGTTTCATGACACACATTTTCGTATGACAATTTGGAAATAATGTATGGTGATGATTCATTCATTCATTCATTGTCTGTAACCGCTTATCCTGATCTTCCTGATTAAATAAAGGTGATTAAATAACTAAATCAAACAAACAAACCAGGTGTCCACTGTTGTTGTTTCAGGTGCATGTTCATACAATAAAGCCACAATGGCCATGCACCCCTATCTGAGGACATGACATCATCCTTTTCCAAACACTTTACATGTCCACATGGATACCAAGTAACCAGAGCTTTGAAAATCTTTATCTTAGAAGGCGTTTTAAAAAGTCTCCATGTCAGTGACCTAATATATTTGTGTGTGGACAAGAGGCCAAAACATAGAGGAGTTTAGCTTGTAGTTTCACCAACATGGTCCTGTAGTAGGTTAGTTACCAGTAAGGTAAAATCTCTGGTCATTTGGTGAAGGGAAGCAGAAATGTCCCCATAAATATCTTCACATTTTTGGCTTTGTTTTTTCCATGTAGACAGATTTGTACATTTCAATGCATAATTCTGAAAGCAGCTCATATATCTGGTTTCTACAGCTGTTACATGTTTCTATGCAAAATAATGTTGTTTGGAAACAAGTGGATGACTTTGATCATATAACAAGTCTTATTAGCCTGTTATGGTGTATCTGAACAGCAATCAGGGTCCATTGTGACTCAGCCGCTGTTCTTAGCGGCGGTTTCCATGCTTAAATAAGAGTTTAAGAAACAGAGATAAACAGGATCTGATGTCATGTTCTTTTTTTGATTCTTATAAAAGAAACTGTTGCCAAAGAAAAGGCACACAGCCCTGACTGCTCGCCTTGCTCAGGGGCATTTCAGTGTGGCAGATGTTTTCTGTCAGTGTCCTCTGTGTTACAGTCAGAAAAAAAGAAGACTTGACAGTTGAATAAATAAATGGGCAGATCAATAGGTAGAATTAGATAAGCTGGCACTCCCCCTTTAACCAAATTGGACACAGATTCATTTCAGATGTGCACCGCGCCGAATGAAATCACTAATCTAGTTTTCACTGAGGGATGAAATAAGCAAAGACGGCACTTAGCCATTATTTATATCCACATTTCCCTGCTGGGGAAATTGGTCTGATTCGTTTTTTTCCATCTTGTTGCCTGCGGATATCATATGTCAACGAGGCTTTGAGCAAAATATAACTGCAGCTTGTTTTTTTCTTCTTTTTTTAAGGGTTTGTACTCTTCGTTTCTGTACACAAAAGCACTACTTTTTTGGAGGGTTTGTATGTGTATTGAGGTGTGTGTGATTCACCTCCTAATAATTGAGGACATATTTCATTTGGGCCTTTAAAACATAACAAAAGAGATACTGCTCCATTTTTTGTGACTAGATTAAAACACAGAGAGGTCACATCTGAGAGCTCGTGGGTTTTGGAGGACCGTGTCACTTGTTTACACAATTATCAGTCCTGCTCTGTGGACTAATGGTTCACTGAGTCACTAAAACTGATTTCTGACTGACTTGATTGTGCTGTTATAAAATGGCATCATATGGTCCAGTCTAACTCAGAAAAAAAAAGCTTGTCGAAACATCCTGCGACAATTCAGTACCCACTCGTTTTACCCCACACAGTCACAGGACACGTCTGATAAAAAACAAAATTCAGTTACCAGCGTCAGTGGTGGGGAAAGTTTCATAACATAAGTGAAGGCTTTAACTTCCCACAATCCTGCTGTGTGCTGTGTAGAAGAGGTGACCTGTGGCTATAATGACCGACGGTGCTCTGTGGCCAAACGATTCACTGCTCACATACCGGCGGGTACAACTTCAGGTCGTCACCGCCTCCGAATTCAGCGCGGCACAGCTCAGCGAGAATTCATTAGTGCTGGACGTAATGGGGAATGTTGCTAGGAAACTGGGTAGTGATGTAGCTTTAGCTGATGTGATGTGGCAGCAATAAATACCTGTTTACCTGATATAGAACAGAGGGTGGACCGCACGCTCAGCTTGTGTTTCATAGTCAGAGGGAGCTCAGCGGGATGCTCGTCCTGCTGCTCTACAGGCCACCTTATTAGATAAACACCCACATGCACACACACACAACAGATACTGCGTCATGCGGGTGTGAATGATGTGGCTGTGTGTGTATGTTGTACTAAGTTGTGGTCCTGAGTACAAAACTACCTCCGCTTTGTTTTCAGTGGGCACTGTGGCTGCATGTTCTGAGCAGCTGCACAAACCAGAGTGTCACACACTGGGTTTGGTTCAGTGTACTCCAAGTTTTGCAGCCAAAGTTCAGCTAGAATTTACTTTGACCCCCAAATCTCTTCAATTCTAAGACATGCATCCAGTGGCATTCTGGTGTTGTGTCAAAGTTTGTCTACCTATTGATTTTAAGTTTCTGTAACCTTAATGCTCCATACGTTATCTCAGCGCAATCCTCAGTGGGGAAATACAAACACTTTGTTTTTTACCTGTTATCTGGCAGCAGCCTGCTTCTTCAAATCTCAAAGGTGTTTGCTTTCTGCCTCGGGGAAAACCAGTGTTTAAATCCAGCATTTTTTTAGATTGTGTGCAGGCAAAGTGAACAAGAGAAGAGCTGGGTTTGTAGTGCTGTTGCTGAAAAGCTGACACCTGTGAAACTGATCTGCTCCTTTTAAAAAACTGCAAACACTGAACATTTTGTATACCTGACAGCATATAAAGTAGTATGGATAGACTAGTACTTCCCCATGCAAATGACCATTTATATATCAATCAATCAATCACCCTGTTTTACACTGAGTTTGTGAAAAAACCTCTTCACAATTCACAATTAAAAAATGGAGAAAATTCTTGATGAATTGAAGTCATCCATCCATCCATCCATCCATCCATTTTCATCTGCTTATTCAGAGCCAGGTCGCGGGGGCAGCAGGCCGAACAAAGCACCCCAGACGTCCCTCTCCTCAGCAACACTTTCCAGTTCCTCCTGGGGGGACCCCAAGGCGTTCCCAGGCCAGACGAGTTATGTAATCCCTCCAGTGTGTTCTGGGTCTGCCCCGGGGCCTCCTACCAGTGGGACGTGCCCGCAACACCTCCAGCGGGAGGCGCCCAGGAGGATCCTGATCAGATGCCCGAGCCACCTCAACTGACTCCATCGACACGTATGAGCAGCGGCTCTACTCCGAGCTCCTCCCCCTATCTCTAAGGCTGAGCCCAGCCACCCCACAGAGGAAACTCATTTCCACCGCTTGTACCCACGATCTCATTCTTTCGGTCACTACCCAGAGTTCATGAGCATAGGTGAGGGTTGGGACGTAGATGGACCAGTAAATTGAAAGCTTTGCTTTCTGGCTCAGCTCCCTCTTCACCACGACGCACCGGCGCAGCGCCCGCATCACTGCAGAAGCCGCACCAACCCGCCGATCCATCTCACACTCCATTCTACCGTCACTCGTGAACAAGACCCCAAGATACTTGAACTCCCTTGCTTGAGGCAGTAACTCCCCCATCCCAGTGAGGGCAAACCACCGGTATCTGATAGTGGACCATGGCCTCAGACTTAGAGGGGTGCCGACTCTCATCCCAACTGCTTCACACTCTGCTGCAAAACGCTCCAGTGCATGCTGGAGGTCACAGCGTGATGGAGCCAACAGAACCACATCATCTGCGAAAAGCAGGGATGCAATTCTGAGGTCCCCAAACCGGACCCCTTCCTCCCCCCGGCTGCGCCTCGAGATCCTGTCATAGGTTACTGAAAACATCAGTTTACAAACTCACACAACTTGTGCAGTATAATCCAAGTCTCATTTATCCAGTCGTATGCTTAATACTTCTCAAACACACAGCCCTTTCTGATGTAGAACTGAATGTAAAGTGAAATTTATCTGTGCTCTCTTCAAAGCCAGACAAAAACAGTAATTTTAACTCGCTTGGAGCTGCTGGTCTACCACTGCTTTGATTGATAGCTTGTGTTATTGTGCGACTTCGGTGAATCCAGACTAAGACTTTAAAACACCAAAGTCCCACAATAAGACAACAAACTGTCATTTGAGGCAGCAGTAGACTAGCAGCTCCCGTGTTAAACAAGCTAAAATGACTGTTTGTGTATACAGAGTTGATGGGAAACAGACTCCATTAACACAAACAGTCATTTTAGCTTGTTTAACACGGGAGCTGCTAGTCTACTGCTGCCTCAAACGGTAGTTCGTTTGTGTTATTGTGTGACTTTGGAGTTTTGAAGGGTTAGGTTGGATTCACCAAAGTCGCACAAGAACACAAACTATCCATCCAGGCGGTGGTAGACCAGCAGCTCTAAGTGAGGTAAAATGACTGTTTTCATCAATGGAGTCTGGCTTTGTAGAGAGCACAAATTAAGTTTCACTTTCTTTCAGTTTCCTGTCATAAAGGTCTGTCTGTGTGGGAATTACTGAGCATACTCAAGACTCAATAAATGAGACTTGCATTATACTGCACGACAGTTTGTAAACAGAAGTTATAATACTGTCTTGCTGTTGTTAAAAGTGGACCCCCTTTTCCAAAATTCAGTGTAACATGAGGTGAGTAACTGATATACAAATGGTCATTTGGGGGGCGAAGTATTCCTTTAATGGCATCCTTAATGTTAGTTCGTGAGCTTGATAAGAGAGTTCCTCAAATCAAGTTAACAGCAAACTACTAGACTGTGTATTCAGGAGGAATATGGGTCCCGACTAAATGCACAGTTTGTGTAAAATATAAGGAACTTCTTCCCGATGCTGGTTTTCACTTCCCGTTAGCACAAACTCACATGTCAGCTGCTCCATGCTTTAAAGTACTTCTCTAACTGATCTGATCTGCATCTTTTCATTTAGAGTTTAAAGGCTGTTAGCTGGATTTCTCCAGAGCACTTCATAAGGAGAACTTGTCGGTCCCTGCGCACTGTACTGCTCCTGATGTGTGTTAGTGTGCTCTAAGCTGTCAACATGCCTCTGCGTCAATGTCAGCCAGACAAAGACTCCAACATTAACTGCATTGGGCCACTGAAGTACTCAGAGTGAGTGGGCGGTGACATGTGTTCCTCTTACTTTCAGAGATGAGAAAGGGATTCTTGGCGCCCACCGATCTCTGTGTTCAGATCATGAATAAATCAGCCGCCGAGCGTGACACTTTCCTCCGAATACATCCACAGAACCTCATTCTGAGGCCGACTGCAGCTGAGCGTCTCACACTCAAGACGGTCTGAATGAAGAGCGAAGTGATTTATGTTATTTTTAGTACAGCGCAGTGGCTTTCAGTGGAATGCTAATTGGCAGGATTCATGAGTTTGTATGTAAATACAGTCTAACTGGACTCACCTACCGCTGCTGTTTGGATGCGCATAATTTGATCTCCCACAGGTTTATTAAAATACAGCAAAATCTGTGACACAAGGTCACGGTTGCAGCTTCTAAGGATTTCCGTAACAGGTTTGAGTGTTAACTTCCATAATACTTTGATGCCAAGCAGAAGCCCCAGTCACTGAACAAATGAGGACAATATAGCAAGCGTCAGAGATAGCCTCTGTGTTCCCAGTGATGGATGCAGCCAGCTTTCATGGAGGAGATGGAAGGCAAAGAACTGAAATCTGTATCGGCCGAGCTGACGTGAGCTGAATCTCCCTTCATGTTCACTCCAAAGTTCAAATCAAACTTACTAAGTTACTTCCAAACTTTTAAAGCTGTTATAATCTGTATTTTGTTTAATGTTTAAAAGTAGAAGTAATTTGTGAGAAAATCATGCACCAATAATCTACTGCACTTGAATGAAAACAACCAATCAGAACCAGTCTCTAACATGGTGTCAGTCACTCTCCTGTGCGTGTTCTCACTCAGTCCAGCTCAGTATATTTTTTATTGCTTTGTCATGTATGCTGGTGTTGGCAGTGCAGCATGTGCACAAACAGTGACTGACATACCTTAGACACTCCTCCTGGCTCTGATTGGTTGATTTCGGTAAGGTGTGGCGGAGTCTTTCAAATGCCATTAGGAGCACTAGGAGGAGCCAGCCATTATCATTTGCTACTGTCATCATAAGTGACAGTTTCAGCAAATATTGCATTTCTACAAAAGTTACCTACAGTAGCTTTAATAACAATATATAGCCCTTTTAAACAGGAGTTGTGCAAATTTGCAGGAAAGCCCAATCAGTCTTTTTTCAGCATTGGCAGTATAAAAACAAAATCGGGGAGTGCAGCAAAATGCCGCCTACCTACTTTTGTTTATACAGAATGTGCCTTTTTCGGGGCAATGGGGGGCGTGAGCAAGTAACAAAACGTGTAGCTCAGCATGTGACGTAAACAGTGAAGTGGGAGGGAAGCTGCGGCTAGTCAGGCGGCGATTCTCTCGTAAATCAGTCTGTTCTTCACCGTCCCCGTCATCTGACGGTTAATGGCCTCTTAATTTGAGAGGACAAGGAGGGCGCACAATTCCTTGTCTCCCCAGTTGCTCATCTTTACAGTGTGTGTCAGGTTTGTGTTTCCCTCTTGCTACTAGCTGCTCGCTAATTCCTGCTATCAGCTGTTTCCTGTTTACCCACCAACAGTGGGTCACATGTGCGACGTCATCAACAGCCCCTCCCGTGGCGGAAGGGCGCCTCATTCTCTTTAAACCAAAAAGGTTCCTCCAATATGGCTACCATATGAGGCGGAAAACTGGGCACCTTGGATCAACTCACCAATCCAGCTCTGTGTCTAAACGCTCGCAGCTTGCCGGCAAAATGGCCCAACATTCGCCGAAAATCTGGCAGTGTAAAAGGAGCTTATGATATGACAATTTGAAAAGCATCGCTCATAGTGATGAACTCAATGAACTGATGAACTTAGACTTTATAAGCTTTATAGTGAGTTTGCCTCTGTGAAGGCTCTGAAAACCCACTGTACACAACCTGCTTAGCAGCAAACAGCAGACAGATACAGTGAGAGACTAGCTGGTGAACACAGCGGAGCATTTAGCAGCTAAAGTGACGGATATTTTCCTCAGGAGTTGGTAGAGACCAAAAACAGAGCTAAAAGAGAGTGACTAAGTTCATGACAGAATTAGGTGATGACTGCCTTTAAAAATAGTGGCCACATACCGACAGCCTCTGACACACATCAGAACACCCACAAATGTTTTGTGCTGAATAAAGTCTAAATGTTAGCATGTTAACTTAACTGCAGGTAGGTTATAAAGATAACATTAGCATGCTAACTGCTATATATTCTAATCATGAGCATGTTCATATCATAGCTAATAACAAAACAGGCACATTTCGAGGCCATTTTCAGTCGCTAACTCAGACTCTCAGCCCCCCACCACCTGCACTTCAAACTGCATCTCTGTGGAGTTGTGTGATACAGTGCGAGTTAAATGAAACAAATGGCCAACTGTACTGAACAGAGCAGTAAAAGCACTTTTCAGTTCTCTGCTTCATGCTATTTTATAAAACATAAATGCCTTCAAGACTCCACACAGAGCCCGCAGTGTTTGATTTCGAGGGATAAAAGGAGTCTTACTCTCCAGGAAGTCGAGCTGGCAGGCGGGGGCGTTGAGGCTCATGAAGTTGAAGCCGCGGGTGGGCCGGCAGCGGCCTCTCTTAGCCACTGCCTCCCCTGGGGTCAAACCCTGCAACATGCTGCTCTTCCCGGCCCCGTCCAGACCGAGGACAAGGACTTGACGCTTCCCACGTTCCTCCTCCTCCTGCGGGCAGAGCACAGAGATGGTCACAGTACAGAAATGAGGACTGGAGGCAAAAATTAAACATGCATAATTTATGCAACAGTGAATGTGGTTATTTGCTCAGCTAAGGAGAGTGAGGGTACAGAAGAGTGGCTGGGTTGCCTTAGGTTTACACATAACATTAACAGTGTAAATGATATGGTGCACATTAGGCATATCAAACCACAGCTGAATCTGAAAACAGTGGTTTGGCACATGCAGTACAAGCTGTGTGAAATCAACAGATGGCTTCCATAATGTGTCTTCAAGTCCTCCAATTTAGTTAAAATAACAAACTACTTCTACACCGCAACGTATGAAATCCACCACATGACCAGAAGTATGGAAAATTACTGCAGAAACAGGCCATTTTGAGAACATGTCCTTGGCCTCTGGAACACTGTGATGATGAAGCGCTAGATTAAAGTATAAAATATAATTAATAAATCGAATGATAGTGAAAATAGTCATTATTTGCAGCACTGATTGTATAAAACCAAATTCTGCCAGCAATCACCAGTCATCCCATCTTCATGATTGGCACCTCTGCAGCCCAGATAATCATCACGTATCAAATTGAATGCAGTAGGCAGCTGGGAATTTGACCCTGGGTGGGCAAAAGACACTTGATAATGTTCAGGAATATGAATCAGCGCCTGAAAACCTCTGAGGGTAAAAGTCACGATATTATCCTTCAATAAAAGACATCACAAAGCCTCGTGATAACCCTGCTCTTCATCACTCCGGGTCAGATCTGAGAGAACATGCAGCGAAGAAGAGCACTCGTCTCTGAGCCGACTGTATCCGCGGAAAGACAAGTGGCTGACACTCAGTAAAGGTTAGCAGCCGGATTCAAAACCTCCACGCTCCCTTTGCACCTGAGACGCTACAACCCCTCTGAGATCCTGCACACGTCACTCATCTCCTCTTTAAAAGTCACGCAAGGTTAGTCGTTATTCATACCGTGTGCTGATGTGTGGCTGCGGTTCTGTGGCGAAGGCTAATTAGCAATTCATATCAGACCTTTCAGAGCTGGGATGCATCCGTTTTTCTTGTTAAAATACCACTATTCACTTTGTTGATGAATGATGGAGCCTTAGGAGTTATCAAAAGCACACTCTCAGAATCAGCTCTAATTAGATTCCCTGACACACAAATCTACTTAACAACGACAATAACGTAATTGTGTCAGAGTGAAGTCAGATGAAGAATTTAAGTGGTGATGAATTAAATGCTTGTGTGTTTCTGGATGTAATCCCTGACTGGTGTTGCTGGGTAAACACAGCGTCAGATAAACATGGTTGCTTTGACAGATCTGTAGCTTGCCTCCGTGTACTTGTAGCTTATGCAGTCCGCTGGGAGACAAACCTCAAACCGTGACAGCGCCGAGCAGCTCTGCAGCTGTGAAGGCTGCAGAGCTTGCACTGCTTTCCCCCTTTTTTGCAGTATTATCAGAATGGACTTTGGGCAAAGTGATCAATTCTTGTATACTTGCTTTGTGTCCTTCCTGTCACCTGACTGCATCTCCAACATTATACAAGATGTTTCTCTAAAGCTTTTGACCAAATCAGTTTTACAAATCGCAGACATTTCTTTGGTTAATAAATCGATCTGACATTTTTTCAAATCAAGCAAGCGCACTGGCCATTTATCTCCAGCTCCCTTTGTCAGTTCAGATACTTCACAGACTTTTTCTTTTAGATTTTAACCTCAGTTCTGCTGGTTCAGACATTTCTCATAAAAAGGCAGTGATACCGTATTGATCTCTATTGTTTCTCTGCTCCACAGGGAGGAGAAAAAAAAGCCCAGCTCAGCTTCACATCAGCACTGCTGGATCTGACAGGGATTTAACGTCTTGCTCAAGGACACTCCAGCACAGCGGATGTTTGGTAACACAATGGCTTCATCACACAGAAGCACTAAAGCCAGCTCGCCTGCAGCACTGAATAGAAAGCGTCGAGCTGTACACAGCAGAGAGAGATGATGGAAACTTTGATCCTTTCACAGACATATAACCAGTCTCTCATGTTGAATGTTCCAGGAGTTCTTCTGTGATTAAATGTTTTCTTTTTTTTGTTCTAAAATTATCTCTATCTTGTCTGTTTCCTCTTCATTAGTTAATTACCCTGAATACTTTTCAATTTTCCGCAGATAATGAGCTTGAACATGCTGCATTCATTTAGACTTTGAAGCAGCAGGAGTGATAATGGTGGCATGGCAACAAGAAGTCTTTTTAAGTTACCATCAAGAGTTGACTGAGTGATTGAAACGGCAATAAATACTCATTTCCGATGATAAATATCAAGCTCATGTCTCAAGATGTGAATAGCTTAGCAGGAGGCAGGAGGAAACAGCTAGCCTGACTCTGTCCAAAGTGCAATAATACACCCACTAACACAACTCTAAAACTCACTAATTAACCTGTTTTCTCTCGCTTGTTTAATCCGTGCATAAACAGAAACACCAAAATGATCTATTTCCTGCCCAATAGCAGTGTATCCATCTGGCCACCACTTCTGTGCTGCATCTCTGGCTCTATGTGGTACAGAACGCCAGATGTGGTTGGTGAGCACAGGTTTTCGTTTTGGTCTCTGCACAGGTACGACGGTAGCAGACCGAGCAACCCTAACTGCGAAGACAAGACTGAAGTCTCTGCACGCTGCTGTTGTTTAACAAGAAATAGTTCCGACACAAGCCACTAATTGATATGTTTGCATTTCTGTGTTGGTGGTGTTTGGTGGTAGATGGACAGAGCCAGTCTATCAGTTGTATCATGCATGAGGTTACTTTCCAAAGTCATAGCAATGTCACAAAGTTTCTATTAGTTTGAAGTGTAATTCTCAACAGAAAACCTGCATTAAAAACTGGGAGTGTGTTTCAAAGGTTAAGAGCGTTAACCAGGCAGCAAAGGTCTGACGATAGGCACTGCTGGGTTGTATTACAGGATGTGTAGGAGCTTTGCTATTGGAGCTTAACCAATATCAGGGACTAACAGTCAGGATATCTCGACCTTTGCTGCTTCAATTTGAACCATTTTATTAATAATCTGTCTTTTGCAACTCCTCCAAACTGTACAGAGGAGTGTAAACGTGAAATAAACCTTTTAAACAATCAGGTTTCCCCAGGAAACAGTCCAGCCGACGCTATGAGCACCCCCCAGATCCCAATGCAACTGGGCCCATAATCAATTTAGTTTGTACATGAAGGCCAAAGCAACAGCCGCTGAGTAAATATCTGGCTTTTGCTGTGTGAAGCGTCACTCCTGCTCTCTTTCCCTAAATGCTTTATTCCATATAAGTGTTTTAATCTTTTATAACGCCAACCTCTGCTATGTGCAAACACTGACAATGAAAGCTGCTTTGTAAAGGGGTAATCTAAATACATTAAGGGACTGTTCATTATTTATGGGGGGGGGGTGCAAAATGAGGCAGGAATGTCAAATATTTTTTTAAGCACTGTGGAGGGGCTTATGTTTTTTTATTTTGGCTTAGGGGAGAGGCATACACATTGAAATGGTTGTATTTTGTATTTATCTTATCACTCATTTTCACCCTTCTGATCGCGGGTTTGGAAGGCGTTTTCTTTAAAAAAAAAAAAAATTCAAAATTTCCCAATTTATCATGGCCAGAAACTGTAAAAACTAGTCTCTATATACAGACTCTACATTCAGTGAATGTAGAGTCTGTAGGCAAAGCCCGGAGATCTTGCCTCCGGAAGAAGAGCGGAAGAGCCCTGGTTTCCGGTTGTAGGCTGTTTGTAGTCCGCGTGATATTGATCAGTCACGTATGAGCCGGCTGCAGTTGTTGCCAGGTTAAACGCTCCGTGCGGTGAACTAACGAGGCGGAACATAACTGACGTCACTGCAAACTCTGAATCCATCGCAGTGGTTCAGCATATTTACTTATATATAAACGGAAGTCGGAAACGGAAATTCACCTCCTCCGCCCAAATCAAACCGGAATGCCAAAAAATCTGGGGTCTGCCCCCAGAGGCTGTATCGCCGTCTGCCAGAAGTCAGACGCCGAATACAGCCGATGGGTTCCGAGAATGGTAAAAACAGAAATGACCATTGGATTTTCAAATTTACGAAAGTCACATTATGATGAACGCTTCCATTTGAAAAAAAAAAAAAAACAGTCACAGAATCTGAGCTTAAAATATTATATTAAGCTCAGTATATATAAAATATATTTCATCAAAATCACTTAATTCTATGTCTCATTGGGGCGTCGGTGGATTAGTGGTAGAGCAGGCGCCCCATGTACAAGGCTGTTGCCGCAGCGGCCCAGGTTCAAGTCCAGCCTGTGGCCCTTTGCTGCATGTCTCTCCCTCTCTCTCCCCCCTTCACACTTCACTGTCCTGTCAATTAAAGGCAAAAAATGCCCTAAAAAAAATCTAAATTCTGCGTCTCATTTAAAATTTGGCCATAAATAAATTGTTTGCTTGAACTACCCAGCATGCACGACTCCAGGATTTCATCCTCAAATTTAACTTTTAACTTTCAATCATGAAAGGGTAAGTTTAAAAAAATAAACTAGTAACTAATATATGATGGAGGGAGGGTCATGCATTTCAGTCACTCAGCGAGGCTCAAGAAAAAAAGTATCTGTAGTCACACCCAGCCACCCCCATCCTCTGATAAATAGAGAACAATCCCTAAATGCCTCTTGCTAAAAAACATCAAAAATAGGGTTTGAAATGATGAAGGATTATGAGCTTAAATTCTCGTGGTCACAACGTGATGCCAAATCATCTACATCCATGCATGTGTCTGCTCTGTAACAAAATTACTCAAAAAATCTAAATGAACTCAGACGTGGAATCTGCTCGGGCACTTTATCCAGCAGCTCAATCTGTTTCTACTCTTTCAGAGATTGTTTGTCGCTGTGTAAATGAGCATGTGCCGCCTTCCCACCTGCCGAAACTCCCCAAGGTCAAAAACACACTGTTAGTCAACTCCCCTGCTTTCCCAAGCCGTAGACGTGATTACAATGCATCTTGGTAAAATTTGGCTCCCGGGATGAAAACATTTACGCCCCCACCCACCCCCACCCTCCGCAGCGAGCTGCTGGCAGACACTGACAACATTATCCTCTAAAGACAGACTGAGCCACATAAAGCAGCCTAAGCTTATTACAGGCTGCTGCTGATTGAATCTAGGAAACAAGATTAGAGACATGCAAATAGATTTTATTAAGAGATTGAGGCTGCAGCTGTGGAGCTCCATTCAAGAGTCATTCATTAAGACCCTCGGTCACCAGGCTGCTTCCTTTCTGCCTGTTTCTGTCTGCAGGAGACACTCACACACAGTCTTTATCGGCCTCCACAACATGATGTGATGCTGAAAAACACGTCTGGGCATTTTAAAGGTGTAGGAAGCCATTATAGTTTTCACATCATAAATGATGACATCATCGTCATCATTAAGGCCCCGCCACACTTTTAGCATCACTTTTGTCACTGTCTCCATTAACCAGTGTTATAGTAAGTACTCAGATCTTTTACATAAGAACCACCGTGCAGAAATACTTTGTCACAAGTAGAAGAACCAAAGTATTAACATGAAATATACTTAAAGTACCAGTAAAAGTAATCAGAGTACTCAAAAGTGCTGCAGAATGGCCTTTTTACAATATTAATAATCTTCAAGTTTTCTTTTCTTCAACAGACTGTCATCTTAACCATCACCATCCATTTTACCTTCATCACATCATCATCATCATCATCATCAGAGCCATCATCAAAACCATCATCTTCATCATCAGTCCTCACCAATACCATCGCCATCATCGTTATCACCCCGGCTACATCACTTATTAAATTCATTTTGTCCATCATCAGTTTCCTTGTCACATTGACTTTACCGCCCTTATCGTCATCATCATCATCAACATCATCATCACCATTACTGTCAGTGAAGACATCACAACCATCATCATCACTATGGCAACTACCACATCATCTTTTGATGATCTTCATCTTTACATTCACCTCTGGCATCTTGTCATTGTCACTATTAACATTCTTCTCTTCATCACATCACCATCCTCTAAACCATCACCACCATCTTCATCATCAGTGTCATCAGTACCATCACCATCTTCATCATCAGTGTCATCAGAACCATCACCATCTTCATCATCAGTGTCATCAGAACCATCGCCGTCATTGATGGCACTTCTGCATCACTTTGTCACATCTTCATCATCTTCATATTCTTCTTGTCTCATTGACTTTGTCGTCCTCATCCTCATCAGTGAAAACATCACCTCCATCATCTTCATCATCGTCATCACTATGGCAACTACCACATCATCTTTTGATGATCTTCACCTTTATTTGTACATTCACCTCTACATTTTAACATTTTTGTCTTCATCACATCACCATCCTCATCGTCAGTCACATCATCAGTACCTTCACGAGCATCTTCATCATCAGTGTCATCAACACCATGACCACTATCTTCATCATCACTGTCATCAGAACCATCGCCATCATTAGCGCCACTGCTACATCACTTTTTCACATCTTCATATTCTTCTTGTCCGCCATCAGTCTGCTTGTGTCATTGACTTTGTCGTCCTCATCATCATCATCATCATCATCATCATCAGTGAAGACATGACCACCATCGTCTTCATCATCACTGTGGCAACTACCACATCATCTTTTGATGATCTTCATCTCTATCTGAACATTCACCTCTGGCATCTTGTCATCTTTAATATTAGCATCCTTCTCTTCATCACGTCCCCATCCTCATCATCAATCACATCATCAAAACCATTACTACCTTCCTCATCATCAGTTTCATCAAAAAGCATCACCACCATCTTCATCATCAATGTCATCAGAGCCATCGCCGTCATTCATCATCTTCATATTCTTCTTGTCCGTCATCAGTCTCCTTGTCGTCCTCATCATCATCAGTGAAGACATCACCACCATCATCTTCATCATCACCAAGGCGACTACCACTTCATCTTTTGTTGATCTTCATCTTTACATTCACCTCTGTCATTCTCATCTTCACCACTGATATCATTTTTCATGTCAGGTCACCACCTTCATCACCACCATCATCTTCTCATTAATATTACCACACCACTACCAACTTCATCTTCATCATATTCTACAGTATGTACTCATTGCCATCAACCTCTTCCTCCTCATTATGTTCTCCACCATCATCATCATCGTCACATCTTCCTTTTATCTAACAGTTTCACTGTTATCTAGAAATCAGTCATCTTCGTCATCAATATCATCTCCAGTATTTTAAGTTAAGGAGGCATCATCATCATCTTCATCATCATGTTCACCACTGACCTTAAAACCATCTTCATCATCATCTCCACCACTACAATATTTTATTAACTGTCATCATCATCTTCTTCTTTATGATCATTATTCTCACTGTGTGCGTCTTTATGACCAGTGTTACCATCATCATTACCATCTCATAATCAAGGCCAGTGCCATCATCATCATCATCATCATCATCATCATCACATCATTCACACGTCAGTAATTCATGAGCAGCAGCATCTTCCTCTTGTTATTCTTCATCATTCTCACATTTTTAAGATAAATATTATCATGATCAACATCATCTTCATCCTCATCATATATTACTGCCATCATTCCATTCTTCATTATCATCATCATCATCATCATCACTACCATCTCAATTACATTCATCAGAATTCTGCAGTGTTTCTTCATTCAGGCGGTCTGTCACATCACCTTCACGTCCAAGTTTGATAGTTGAATAAACAACAAAATAACACACACATGTCAGAACACATGAAACACAGTGTGTCACCTCTTTGATCGTGCAGTACTCCGCCTGTGGTGACCATATTCGCCTCTTGTAGAAGAAGTTCAAGGCGATGAAGAGAGCGGAGCCCAGGGCAGCCACGGCGGCGGTCAGGGCGATGGAGATGTGCCGGAGGAGAACCATATGTGGAGCGCACCGTGCGGCGGCTGGAGCCGGAGGAGCTGGAGGGGAGCCGCTGCTTCCTGGACACCGACAGTGCTGACACCGACTGGCGCTTCCTTCTTCTTCTCCTTCTTGTTCTGCTGCCGCCGGACGCACTACATGTGACCGCGCGCTCTCCGCTTGTTTTTGTTTCGACACGCGCAAGAGAGGAAAAAAATGCTGCGTTCAGGCGCGGCTTGTAAAATACGCTTTTCTTCTAGACATGCAGCTTTTTGTACATTCATGTGCAACTTGCAACAGACAATAATAGTGTTCAAGATATTAACATGAAAACGCCCTCTCTACACTAACAGATATGTAATTATATGGGAAAAGATTCAATTATTCAGTTATTGCCTTAAAATAGCCTCATCACATTTTAAGGTATTTAATTTAAAATAACATTACCAGCTTTAAAAAACACAATTTGTGAAATATGTGTAACTGTAAACTCCTCTTTATTTTCTTTCTTTATTTTTTTTTTATTTAACCTTTATTTAACCAGGAGGTCCCATTGAGATTAAAAACCTCTTTTTCAAGGGAGACCTGGCCAAGACAGGCAGCAGCACAAAAAAGACACAGTTACAGACATAACATAACAAGGACAACATCATAGGAGTACATACAGTAAAAAAAAGTAAATGAGTAACAAAAGAAGCTGCCTCTGAGTCCTTAAGTTTAGATTTAAACTCATTTAGAGAAACTAGGCAGTCCAGTTGTAAGACATTTTGCAGATTGTTCCATGCAGTGAGGGCAGAATAAGCAAATCCATTTTTTCCAAGCTCAGTACGGATGTTTGAGACTGAAAGTAGGTAAAGGTCATGGGAGCGCAAGGAGTATTGTCCGGTACTCCTTGGCATGGTAAGGACACATAGGTAAGACGGAGGCAAACCTAAAATTGCCTTGTATATGACAATATACCAATGATGAAGCCTGTGGGTGGCCGAAGAGGGCCATCCCACCCGAGAATATAACTCACAATGATGAGTCAGGACTTTACAATTAGTTATAAATCTCAGGGCAGCATGATAAGCTGTATCAATTTTATGAAGACACTGAGCAGAAGCATGCATGTACAAAACATCACCGTAGTCGAGCTCAGATAAAAAAGTGGCGGCAACAAGCCGTTTTTTTGCATTAAATGAAAAACACAACTTATTACGAAAATAGAAACCCAATTTCAGTCTCAGTTTTTTCACTAATTGAAACACACGTGCTTTAAAAGTGAGGGAGTCATCAGTTAAAATACCCAAATATTTATCAGAACTGACAGTCTCTATGCTCCTTCCATCCAGAGTGACCACAGCAGGGATGTGTGCTCTAGACTTTGAGTTACTGAAGATCATAATTTTTGTCTTTTCAGCATTAAGAACAAGCTTTAGCTGAAGTAGGGTATCCTGAATAACATTAAAAGCATCTTGCAGGTGCTCAGTGACCAGGGCAAGAGTAGATGCACAACAGTAAATGACTGTGTCATCTGCATAGAAATGAACCTTAGCATCAAACACATTTTGACCCAGGTTGTTTATATACAGGGTAAATAAAAGAGGACCTAAAATAGAACCCTGTGGTACACCTTTGCAGACAGATACAAATTCAGAACATAGACCATCGTGTCTAATACACTGAGATCTGTCATTAAGATAGTCTGAAAACCATGCAACTGATTGCTCTGAGAGACCTGACTGAAGAAGTCTAAGCTTTAAAACATTGTGATCAACAGTATCGAAAGCTTAACACAGATCAATAAAAAGTGACGCACAGTGCTGTTTCTTATCAAGTGCAACCGAGATGTCATTTACTACCTTCAGGGCAGCTGTGATGGTACTGTGCTTTTTCCTAAAGCCTGATTGATATGAAACATATTACCAAGGACATCATCAAATCAAATCAAATTCATTTATAAAGCACATTTAAAAACAACCTAGGTTGACCAAAGTGCTGTACAATAAAGGTAAAGTCACAGAATAACAAAGTGCAGAGATCAAAATACGTAGCAATACAATCCCATGTACACAAGTCCAAAACTAAAGGAACAAATTGGAGAGTGGAAATACAAAAGACTAAAAATGAGGGATAAGCTCAAAAGCTTTGGAGTAAAAATGGGTCTTAAGTCTAGCCTTAATGTCCACAGATGGGGAATCCTTAATGGAGAGAGGTAGACTGTTCAAAAGTTTGGGTGCAGCCACACAGCCAGAAGCTGCTGGTTTGAAGATCTGAGTGCTCTGGAATTTAAAAGGGGACACAGGAGATCAGAAATATATTGGGGATCCAGGCCATTAACAGCTTTAAAAACAAACAATAAAACCTTGAATTCAATCCTGTAATTGACTGGTAACCAGTGCAGGGATGCCAGCACATATGTTATGCTGTCTCTTTTCCTTGTGCCAGTTATCAGTCTTGCAGGAGCATTCTGGACAAGCTGCAGGCGTGACAAGGAAGATTTAAGGACACCCAGATATAATGCATTGCCATAGTCCAGTTGGGAGGTGAACATGATCACTGATAAAAGCAATAGCTATAAATTGTCTGTGCAACACATGAGTCTCATACTGTACATAGTATTGTGTTAAACTGCATCGTCAAATAAAGGGAGAAATTGTGACCAGAAAAGTAAGATGATTAAAGTAGTTTCATCTTTTGGAGAGCAGTGCAGCGGCTGCTTTCCCCCCTGCATGATTTGTTATTGATTTTAATTTTTTGCCACTGCTGCAGGGGTGTAAATATAAACAGTGCAGGCAGTGAGGTTGCAGTGGGGCCCGTGGGGTGGGGCTGTAGAGAGAGTGGGCCCTTGCAAAGTGATTCAGATTGTCACCCTTGAAGTGCACCTGTGTTCAGAGAGGAATGATGAAAAAAAAGTATGTGTGTAAATTAAATATGGTGCCATTTGCTGTATATGTCCACAAAAATGCATCATGGTTTTATTTTTATATATTGATTTCTTTTGTAAAATTGTCAGTAGCAGTCTACAAGGAAATTATATATCCTCCATAAATTATAAAATCTATTGATAAACCATAAAAACCATTTAATTAAATGATTCATTTCCTACTTTCTTTGATATTTATATGAGATACACAGTGATGATTGCTGGGTAGTATGCATGCAAGTCTCTATCTGATCATGTGATGAGACACTACATGCACGATAGTGTGCACCAGGGCCCGTTGTGACTTCCTTACAGCCCTGTATTCCTAAAAAAGTTTTCCAGTCCCACACCACTCAAAAATGTGTTTCCTCGTTGTTGGGCTTCAGTTTACAGAATGACGTGTAAACAGTTTGCTTTCACTAGTTTCTCTGTGCTCACCTCAAACAGGATTTATGACATCACAACTATCTGGAGCCAGTCATGGTCCAGTATGCAGCTCACTCGAGTGTGATGTGGAGACTTGAAACACATACACCGATAATGTGCTTTTTAGTGAAGTAGGAGACATCAGTGGTTGAAATTTTGGAGTGAACAATATTTGCTATAGACACTGAACTAAGTTTATATGGCTTAAAAGTTTAAAACACACCAAGGGGATCTTTAAATATTTTTATTTCTTTTTTAAATCCAGATTAATTTCACTTTTCCAGGGATGATTTACTCCGAAGGCCCACACATACATCAACCACAGACACACACAGAGGAAAGTGTAATTTGAGCTTCATTGATCTGTTGGCCACTGGAGCAGATGGAAGTTGCTCAAGGGCACCATGGGCACCATGGGCACCATGGCTGCTATAATGAGGGAGGGGAAGTGCTGTCTTTTACTTGAGGGTTGAACCAACCAAATGTCTATTTACCACTCTAATTCAAATTCAAGCTCATTTTGATTATGTTCTGGTTTTGCAAATCACAAGCATATTTGGAATTTGGTAATACAGACTTGCAGTTAAAAGTTGACTTATCATGCATAAAAGCTTTTTTGGGCCTAAAGAATGAACCCCTTTGCAAAAAATACACAGTCCGGTGCATTTTTTTCTTGGCACCATAATTGAAAAAATATTTTTGTTGGCACCAAAACATGTACAAATTATAAGCATGCTGATTCAGTAAGTAGGCCTATGCAAAATTATGCTGAGCTATGTTGCTACCAACAATATGTAACAGGCCCCTCCTTTAAAAATCTTAGTTCACCACCTTCTGGGCTCACACGCGCTGAATTGCCAATTTATAAAATTTCCGATCGCACTTGAAGGCATCATCAGCACCCGCCCGCCGCCGGTCTGCAGGTGAGCGCGTGCAGTCAAATGCACAGCAGCTGGAATTTGCATGTGAGCGGAAACACATGAGCTGCACCCGACAGTCTGTCAGCCAACATGCGGATCAGCTGGTGGATAAACAGTATTGATCACAGATCAGATCGATGATCCCACCATCAGAGAGGCCTCACTGGGTCTGTCTCCATCCATGAGAGGAGGCTGAGGTGAAGTGCTCCATCTAGAGTCAAGCCTCAGTCTTATTTATGGTCTTGTTAAATTGGCTTTACAGACATCATCTGGTTTCTGACTCAGCCCATAAAACTCCGCACAAAGAATCTTAAGAGTAAACTTTATAAGAAGTTGTGTTGATGAGCTGCTCTGTCATCATAGGCCTACTTTCTTCTTAAAAACAGCCCTTTTTATTCTCCCATGGACACACCACACTGACACTTAAATAAAAGCACAAATCCCACACAGTAAAAATGATCCATTACAAAAAATAAAGAATTAAATTAAATATGTATTAAAAAAAAAATAAATTAAAAATGTATTAATGTACAAGCAGGAGTTTACTGTTGTAGCTGGTTGAGATGGAATTCTTTCAACTATTTTGTATAAAACTTCAACTAATGATTATTTTCATTATGTATTAATCTGCATTATTTCTCCATTAATTGATTAATGGGTTTGTGAACATTCTTAAAATAGTGAGAAATGTTTTCACCAGTAGCTTCACCATTAACAGTCCAAGCCTCAAGTAAAAGTCTTGCATTGAAAATTTTGCTCAACTAATTGTACAATAGTATTAGAATATCAGCAAAATGTACTTTAAGTATCAAAAGTAACTGATGGTTTATGTGTAAGATGCATTTTATATGTGGCAGAGGTGGAGCAAATTATTACTACTTTATTTACTGGTGGTTCAGTCTACATAACTCTGCAACATGTTTTATGTTTGAGGTTAAAATTAAGTTGATTTTTTTAAATTTGAAATCTTAATATAATAAATAATTGTGTGAAATGAATGTAGTGGAGTAACAGTATAATATTTCCATTTGAAATGTAATGTATTGGGGTAGAAATATGTCATAATGATACACTCAAGTAAATTAAAAGTACTTAAGAACACTTGAGTAGATGCTTCTGCAACGGGAAATACTGCAACTTGATAGATTTATTAATGAAAATAAGTTTTAAAAAATCGTAAATTGCCACCGCAGAAAAATAAATAAATTGAATTGAATTGAATAAATCAACTTGGAATTGGAATACACCCTTTACTGCAGGCAACCCTCAGATCAATTAAAGACAAAATAGGCGTCTTTAATTGTGATCACAATTTGTGACACCTACTGATAGGTGTCTTTTTACTTTTCACACACCTTTAAAAACCATCAATGGATTTTATTCTCTTCAGTGTATAGATATATAGACACAAATGTACCCAAGGAACTCATCACAGTGACACACTTTTTTTCAACATGGTCCATAATTTAAAAAGTCCTTAAGTCCATAACGTATTACAAAAGCAGGATTTATAATATATCAGTTGTGTATTTAGTTAATGTATGTTTTTTTATCTTTAGCATTTATGTAATCAATGTGTTTTTGAATTGCTATAACAAAGCAAACTACATAATGCCTCTTATAACAAAAATAAGACCAGGTGCTTTCTTTGCCCTTAAATTAATGTGTGACCTTTGAAACAAATGGTGTGATTTCTTATATGTCGGGGCACAAGGTTGTCAGGATTCATTTCCCCAAGTTTAATTGTAATCAGAGTAGAGGTACCTGAGATACAGCCTGTAAAATGAACCTGAAGTCAGTTTGGATTTCTCAGCATTGAGCATCCATTCAGCAGTTCAACAAGATCACCACCAGAGGGCGCTGCAGGCTTGAAAGTTTGTTAATATAGAGGCCTGTGAAGGATAAAACATACTCATGAAATTAAATACGTAACTACATATATTAAACAGGTGAATCAAACAAAAGTTAAAGGAGTGAAATGATCTAAAATGGCCACAACCACAAGGAAATGGAAAGTCAATGCAAATGAAATAATCAATTAAACAACGATAAATGAAAGATATATTGATAAAACAATAATAACAAAACTGTGATAACTTAAATATGTCACTGTTCGGACTATAGGAGAAATAAAGATGTTTTTTATTTCCTTTACCACCAATTTTTAAAGAAAAAATTAATTGAAAATCACCAGATACACCATTTGTCATAGCCAGAAACTGTGATACAGAGATTATCGTTGGATTTTTAAAATTCTGATGGTCCTTGAGCACATTATGTGGGACAAACACTTCTGTCCAAAACAAACAAACAAACAAAAAAAACATAACCAAATCTGATCTTAGGATAGTGATATTTCATCTGAATCACTTTATTCTACCTGTCTCATTTAAAATTTTGCCAACTAATTTACAACTAATCTATCCTCCTGAGACCCTGCGTCCTCACACGAGAACATTACATTTTGGGTTTCCTGCACCTTAAACTTCATTCTTATCTCAGACCTGTAGTCCTTGTTTATGGACACTTTTATTCTCAGTCCACAGCTGATCCCGACACAAAGGTGGACAAGGTACAAAACCTGATCTAATTTTATGTCTGTAGTTTGACATGGCACACAAATTTGATCAATTTTAGTAATAGTAACGAGGTAAAATGCTGTTAATTAGGAAGTACTGGTTTGATGACACTGGGACTTTCAAACAGGCTAATTTTATGTGACAGACTGTTCCTCCAGACACAAAGGACATTTGTAGACTGGAGTACGAAGCAGGGGAAATTTAATACAGTTACAAAATGACATATCACAAGACTTTTAAATATGTTCCACCCAATAAACAATAATTTATTACATGCTTGCAACTATTAAAAATAAACCCATTGTCCCCAAATGAGGACTTTTTTTTAACCAAAAACTACTTCCTGTTCAAAGACAATGCTTTGTTTTTTTAGCATAGAGTCTCTGGTTAATATGGTGGAGTTAGGGTCATGCATTTTCCTCAAGTCACTCAGGGAGACTTCAGGAAAAATATTTGTAGCTAAAGTAAGGATAAAAAAACTAACACCCCAGCTACCCCTCTTCTCTGACAAGTAAAGGACAGTCCCTTACTTTGCAATGCATTTAACATTAGATAGGTCTATTAAACAAAACCAATGATGCAGTTCATCAACTTAACAGAGAAGTTAATTGATTTTATTCACACCAGCCATAATCTAATTAAACAGCCCATTCAGGTAACGTTGTGTTTAAAATCTTATATTTTATATTTGAAAAGTGTGACCGGAAGTGTTATTTTTCCGGCTGAATTGGTCAACCGAGCTTTTATTTTGAAATGACAACAGGAAGTCATGGTAACTGTTTGTACATTGACAGCGTTCGACCGGCCGAAGTCATCGGGACTGAGGGAAAGACTTTACCGCCGCCGCCGCCGCTTCCCTCCCGTCCGGTTTTTAACGGTTAATACAAGAGATTAACATATAAGTTTTTCACGGATATACCGGCTTTTAACGGCCGTGGATTCAGTCGTTACTTTTTTCTCTCAGCGGTGTTCACAGTGTTCGTCACCCCGCGGCTGGCGGCTAGCATCGGTTACTGCTGCTAAACATGGTGGCCTGTCGGCAACAAGAAGCAACGAGTCCAGTTTGGGGATTTTAGAGGATAAAACAGGCACTTGGACGGTTCCCTCTGTAACACACAGCTGCTGTGGACACATCACTGCCCTCATTTTCCATCTTTATCCGGAGCTTTATGGACTTGGACGTGAGGCTGCCTTTCTGTTTACGTTGTAACACTTGCAGCAGCACCGTCCGTGTTCTGTGGACCGTGGATAATCGTAGTTAGTTTACTTCAGAAGTTGCTAACCAGGCCTGTGTAAAGTTTCTGTTAAAGTTGCAGAAACATGCGCTCACAGCTGGAAAAACACGTCATATAGCAACGCGGTTTTGTTTCACGACCGTTGTGTTTATACTACGGATGACTTGACACTCGCACAGAAATGAGTTGGTGCTCAAGTGCAGCCTGCAGGAACTGTTTCACCCTCTGAGTTTCTTTAACAGTCCCCTCTCTGGGGGTTTGATTCCTTGTTAATCTGTGGATTATTATGGATTATTATTATGGCCTAATCCAAACCGCACCAGACCGGGAATTTTGGGAATAACAGCTGATACTGTCGATGATGATAGTGGTGATGATGATGACAGAGAGAAGCGATGGTTTCCCTTCGTTATAATTTTGAGTAGAGAGGAGATAATTACATGGAGACTCGCCTGACATGCCAAGGAAGGAGTTGCCACTACCTGAGGGTTGGGAGGAAGCCAGAGACTTTGATGGCAAAGTCTATTACATTGACCATATTAACCAGTGCACCAGCTGGATCGACCCCAGAGACAGGTAGGAGTGTGTATGTGTGTGTGTGTGTGTGTGTGTGTGATACAGACTATTACTAATGAATTAGATGGATGACCTTTGACCTTCTGCAGATGATCAACATGAGATAGTCATCAGTTAAAATAAAATAAATGTGATATACATATCACTATAAGACTACATGAGATTGATAGGCATTAACTAAGTGTGTTGCCTCTGCAAATAAAATAAATATTCATGTCAGATTACAGTGCATCCTGAAGCCTAATGCATATTATAAATCAGCAAATTAGTGATAAAAGATGCATACATGTTGGTCCCCTGTTAATCATCATAGCACATATATTGATTGCTTTTATTAATACCAGCCATAATGTCAGCAAAGAGCAAATGTGTGTGCTGTTTAGGCCTGGAACTCCATCCACCCCATATCCTCATTAAAAGGGTTTGTGAAATAGTTTTAAGATAGCTTGGATTTGTGCACAATAAATGTAAATTACTGTAACCTGCCAAAAAGAGATTGAAGAAGGTTGTTTTTCCTGCTCAGGGAACTGTTACACATGTGCGCAGTCCTTCATTGCAATTAGCAGCAGGCCCATAAATTCCAATTAGCAGAGAGTCCAGGAGAACAAGGAGGAAATAAATGCTGCTTAATGTCCAGGAGACTCAAAGGAAGCAGGACATAATTTCTGTGAGGCATTTATTGCACCTTTCTCTGCGTAATACCTCAAAATACAAATAAATCACAGGTTTATCCCTGCACAGCACTCAGCACAATCCATCCCGAGACCGCTGGGGGATGAAGATCTGAATCAGACTGCCAGAGATGCATGTTTAGCTTGTTCATCTCTGAAACTGGTATGACTGTCACTGAACCCGATGACCTGTCACATCCCTGTGTCAAGCTGTCTCTGATACACATTAAGCTGTAGACAGTGTCACCAAAATGTTTGCACGTAGTCTTAAGATATTGTAATGTAGCCTATATATTTTTAATTCAATATCTCTTATTTATCTGATTTATTTCATTAAACTGTCTTTGTGCTGCTGTAACACCCCCCTCGGGATCAGTGAAGTCTTATCTTCAATGAAGGTCTTTATCTACATCACATGCTTATCTCCAGGTTATGCCTATTGTACGTGTAATAGTTATTCTAAGGAGGATTATTGTGATTTTTCATAGTCTTTCAAGCAAACGTTATCTCTCCACGCCTGTATACAGATAGGTGTGCGTGTGTTAGGCAAGTGATGGTGGAGAAAAGAGCACACATAAGCTCCCGCATGTTGCCAAGCAGAGCTACGAAGATAAGTCGATTGACAGAATATGAGTCAACAACCTTTTTTAATACTCAGTTAATCCTTTAGGTCTGTTTTCAAGCAAAAATTCTGAACATTTGATGGTTCCAACTTCTCCTGCAGCTAATGTTTTTCATTACCAGATTGTTTTTCATTAAGGCCTAATTGTTCCAAAAATGGCCCAGAAAATTTCCCACAGCCGAAGGTGATGTATTCAGATGTCTTAGCTGTCAAAAACCCAAAGATATTCAAGTTAAGATCATGTATCCTCACATTTAAGAAGCGAGAACCAGCATCATATTTGCTCACAAGAAATTGAGACACAGCTGGGGAAATGAGAATAAGAAATCCAGACGGGACATTTGCAGAAGAAACAGTGTTGCTGTAGGTATCATTTGGATGAGTGTGGCAGCGGTAGCCAAGACTGGAAGCAGCTTTAAGCGAGAGTAAAGAACAGCAGAATGACAATGAGGGGAAATCTTAATAAGAACACAGGCAGTAAAGTCTCCTGCACAAATGATGTCTGCTTTCACAACTGCAGTGTTCTCTTATTTGAATTAGAAATGCAACCTTGAACCAGGTTGACGTCCTTAAGTGAATGCATCTGGAAGATACTGGAGATGATAAACAAGGCTTTCATTCTCACAGTGGGTTCCGTTCATAAAGTGATGTCTCATTAGCCTTGAAAGGGGAGACGGGGAATAAACAGAGGGCAGGACTTCCTCAGTCCTGTTCGAATCGTTATAGAAAGAACATGTTAGAATTCACAGAGAAAACTCCCATAGGTTTGTACCCTTAAGAAATACCCTAAGTAATACATTCAGTTGAGAATGAAAAGGTTATTTTCAGTATGGTTATATTGCATATTTTGCATGATTGGATTTATTATTCACACCTTGATGGATGTGTGTTTCTCTGCCAACTTAATGTTGTATGTCCTGTATTAGTTTTCATAGCAACACATCTTCATAGAGACATAAATTGGCACATGAGAGCCCCATGCCAATAACCCGTCCCTACCAGTTAACTACAAATCATGTTTACACCACCATACAGTAGCAGGCCATCAGTGTCTAGTTTCCTGTATTCCAGCCAGCCATTGGGTTTACATTCATTTTACTGCAGCGTGAAAAAGGAGTGAACCTACAGATACTCAAAACTTGAAATGAGTCATCCGTCATGGTGAACATCTCATTGCTGTCATTGTTTCGGCAAGGTTACATTACCATCATACATGAATGCAGCTGCTTGCGTGTTCAAGGACGCTTCACAGGGGAACATTTCTGAGCTATGTAGTCAACACCAAGGGAACATGATGTTCACTGAGGTGGATTACTTACAGCATCTCAAATAAGTTTCAAGGCTTTGCAAGTTGTTTTTCTTGCTATAGCGAAACGGATGTCAGCTAAGGTTCCCCGGTAAGCCGAAACTCATAGTAAAGAGAATGTAAGCCAGTGGCAGCCAGGAAGGTCGAACACCACAGTAACAAGAAATGGAAGCTGGTAGTTTTCTGACAGATTGAAAGCCACAGTGAAATGAATGAAAGCCAATGGCTGCCCAGAAGGTCGAACACTATAGTAAAATACAAATAGATGCCAGAAGCTGTCCAATATATTGAAACCTATAGTAAAATGGATGAAAGCCAATGGCTGCCCAGAAGGTCGAACACCACAGTAACAAGAAATGGAAGCCAATAGCCCTCTGACAGATTGAAAGCTATAGTAAAATGGATGAAAGCCAATGGCTGCCCAGAAGGTCGAACACCACAGTAACAAGAAATGGAAGCCAATAGCTCCCTGACAGATTGAAAGCTATAGTAAAATGGATGAAAGTCAATGGCTGCCTGGAACAACGCAGTAAAATGGATGGAAGACATTGGCTGTGAAGTCTGGGTGCGGAACATGATGGCTTCTCATTCGGAATGAAATAAATCTGATTATACAACAGTTAGTTCCGGCCCTGCAATCTGATTGGTCGAGAGACAGTAAAACCGTGATGATGTTGGAGTACAACATCATCACGGTTATTTCACTGTGTATGTATCACTCCGCCTCACAGCTGATTGCAATCAACAATCAAATCAAAACTGACGGTTAGTGTCAGTTAGGTCAGCAGTTGCGTTGTAGGCTAATTAATTCATCCACTGTCAAACAGCCAAAAATATGGATTTATTTCCTAAAATAAGTTTTGAATTGAACTATGAATGGTCATCAGAGGAAGATGAAGGAGAGGAGAAGCTGAATCCATCTGAGCACACATCCAGGTTTGTCAGTGTTTCATCAGCGGAGCTCAATGACTTGGAGAAAAGCAACATACTGTCAGATCAGAAGGCAGAGTCGGCTGTGCCTGTGAAGCCACAGTCCACCATGCAGTCACCAGAGACTTATTTCACCGGCTGCACAATTAATGGAAATGTGCAGATAAATGTGTATAAAGAGTAAGTGCCTGGCGCACCATGTCTGCGTTACATAGCAACGGTGACAGCGGAGTCCTGAGGGAACTATTTTTATTGGCAGAAGACAAATAAAATGCTTAAATTATCTATTTTGTCCTCATTTTTCAACATTTCTTAATCAGCCTTGCTTATTTAACTGTTGAACTGTTGTATAAAAGTAATATCATACTCGAGCTCATGATGTTGTACTGTGATATCGTCACAGCTGTGATTCGGCCTAAGACCGGGCTTGTTTTGCTTATATTCTTGAAGCAGCAGTACGACAACAACCTTGTTCTGCTAATGCTTCGTCTGTTGAGGAGAAGAAGGGAGGTAGAAGGTCGAAGAAGGGAGATAGAAGACCGTGCTGTGGCGAATGGAAACCGGTGAGTGCAACGAGTCCAACTGCTCTATCTCAGCCCGTTGCTATGAGCGCTATATACATCATCGCACCAGAAGGGCAAGGAAAAGAGCATGAGCAGAAAGAAAGAAATGAACTTAAAGAGGAATGAGTGTATACAAGTGCGAGGAATTCTTTCTTTCGGAATTAGAAACGGAATATTCCAGCCCCTTACATTGGATTGAATTTTCAATTGCATTGGCCATTTTCATTCTGAATTAGGTGTTCACTTTTAATAGGAATGGACTTTCTTTCTGAATGAAAAGGGAATTAAACTGTCCATGTAAACGCACTCACTGTGCCTAAAAATGCAGAACCATCATTTACAGCTTTATTTTTGTACAATTTGAATTTTTTGGTCGTTTTCTACATACTTTCTCTAATTTCAGACAATTTGGAGATGAAGATAACAGTTTCACCACAAGGTCTGATTAGTAGCTTGTCTGGCGCTTTCAATCACATCACAATATTTTGATCTACAAGGTATTTAAGGGTATTTTTTAATTTTGCTGTCTGAGCTCTTCAGCTTAATCGCAACCTGCTTGAGGAGCTTAGGCAAAATCCCTGTCATCCTTTTAATACTTCATAAAAAAGTCCTGGGATAATTGGTTGGGCACAGCATTGTGTAAAAAACAGTGTATCAGTTAGTAAGAAGGTGATTTTAATAGTTTTTACATTGAGTGCACAGTTTAGAAAACACCTAATAGACATTTATTTCATGCTCAAGTCATCAAAATTTATGTTTTTCATTGGCAGAAAATGGATATATGATGGTGGACTTGAGGTAAAGAATTCTCTAACATGTTTAAGATATTTAAAAATACAGCATACTTCATTTGGTTTGTCAAAGTGCTCAAATTTATGTTGGTCTCAAACCAGAAAAACTGATTTGTC